GGGAACCTTGTGGTTGCTTTCTTTCACTTCTTTGTAGTGTATGTGTTATTTCTTGTATGCTGTAGCCATCTTGTCGTCGAACCTATCCCCCCACCTGACTTTGGTTGTCCCCTGCCTAATCCTTGGTGACTTCTGTTCTCCTCTCTACTTCTATGAAGTTAATTTTTTTAGCTTCCACACAGGTGTTAGAACATGAAGTCGTCAACTTTCATTGTCTGGCTTATTTAACTCAATGCAATGTCCTCTAGTTCCAACTGCATTGCTACAAATTGCAGGATTTCATTATTTGTATGGCTGAATAGTAACTCCACTGGTATATGTACACATTTTCTTTATCCATTCATCTGTCAGTGGGCACTTAGGTTGTTTTCCTCTCTTGGTGCTTGTGAACGATGCTGCAATGAACATGGAGTATTGATGCCTCTTCGACATACTGATTTCATTTCCTTTGAACGTATACCCAGAAGTAGAATTGCTGGATGATGTGGTTATTTTATTTTTAAGGTTTTGAAGAACCTCCATACTGTTTTCCAAAATGGCTGTATTAATTTATATCCCCACTAGAAGTGTGCAAGTGTTTCCTTCTCCCCATGTCCTCACCCACACTGCTGTCAACCTCTCATTGTGGCTTTGAGTTACATTTCCCTGAGGATGAGGTGTTGGCACTTTCTCACATACACACTGACCATTTATATGTCTTTGTGAGAAATGTCTACCCAGATCATTTTCGTGTTCAAATCAGATGATGTTTCTCTTCCTTGTGGAGTTGTTTGGGTTCCTTGTATATCCTGGATTTAATCCCTAGTCAGGTGTGGTTGGCAGACATTTTTTCCCATTCTGCAGGTTGTCTTTGCACTTTGTTGTTGATGGTTTCCTTTGCTGTGCAGATGCTTCTTAGTTTGACAGGTCTAATTTTTCTATTTTTGCTTTTGTTTGTGTACTTTTGGGGGCTTATCCAAAACAAATCTTTGTCTATACTGATTTCTGGAAGCGTTCTGTCCTCCCAAGGAACCCTTCGAAAAGGAAATAGATGAATATTTTAAAACAAACAAAAAGGAACAAGCTACTGTTAAGATGTTTTAAATGTCAACCTTAGTGAGACAGAAAGTTATTTGCACACATACTACAAGAGAGGATTTCTGGATCATAGAGTAGATATACATACATGGCTGGGCATTTCTAGTCCCATGGTTGTGCCTCTGGGCTCTCAGTCCCTTTGATTGAAACAGTCCTGGCATGTGTTACAGTGTCATCTTCACGTGGTTTTAGTTTGCATTTCCTGGATGATTCACTATACTGAGAACACTTTTATGTGTATTCTGGGCATTACTCTTTCTCCTTATGTGTTCAAATATAAACAAGTTTGGACCTGCTTTTAAAAACTGGATTGTTTATCTCTTTATTATTGATCAGTAGAGGTTCTTTGCATATTCTGGGCAAAGTCCTTTGTTAATGTACTATGAATTTTTCCCCAGTCTACAGCTCATTTCCATGCTTTACTGTGTCTTTTAATAAGGCTGATTCATCTAGCTTTTTCTTTAAGGTTAGAGTTTTCTGTCCCAAGAAAATCTATCTGCCCCAAACTCATGAAGATGCTTCCCTATATTTTCTTAGAAGCTCTGGGTTTCTGGTTTGATGTTTGAGTTTATCATGATTCTTAATGTTTATGTGTGGAACAAGTAGAGATGGATTGACCTCCTATCTTGACTGAAGCTCAGTCTTCTATTCTACCCCAAGGCTGAAGTGTCCTGAAACTGGTGGGTCATGGGGCCAGATGGCCCAAATCCCACCGCTCTGCTCTTTAACATGAGTACTTCAGCAAAGCCACTCTGCACTTCCACGTAAATTTTATAATCAGCTTGTCAGTTTCTACACAAGAGAAAACCCACCATGATTGTACTTGGGGTTGTGATGTTTCTATAGACTGTTTAGGGGGATGGCTGAATTCTATTGAGTCTCTTGACCTAGGAGCATGGCAGCTGTGGACTGGAGGCCTCTTGTCATGTTCCACAGTCTCCCACACACAGGTCTCGCAGACCTTCGTGAGACTTACTCCTAGGTATTTCATGGTTTTTTGATCTAGGCCTGGAGTTTTCCTCATGGGAAGGTTTTGATCAGAAATTCAATTTGTTTAATAGATATGAAGTGAGGGTAGGGTGTAGCTCAGTGGTGAGTGTTTATCTAGCATGTGCAAGGCCCTGGATTCCATTGCTGGTGCTGAAAAAAAAAAGCAAACAAACAAAAACCAAAAATAGATATGCTATTTAGATTTTCTACCTCTTCTATCACTTTTGCTAAGTTACGTATTTTGGGGAATTTGCCCATCTTATTTAAATTGTTTAACTTATTAAATATACTCTTAACATTTCCTTAGACCTTTTTAACATTTGCAGGGTTCATAAATCCTGCATTTGCATTTTTCTTAGGGACTCTTGTTGGGGTTGTCACCTTTTTTTTTCAGTATGGGTGTTTGAACTCAGGGCCTTACACTTTCTTGGCAGTTGCTCTACCACTTCAGCCACTCTGCCAGCCCTGTTTTGTGTTGGGTCTCTGTAACTGTTTGCCCTGGCTGGTTTCCAACCACAATCCTCCTGATCTCTTTCTCCTGAGAAGCTTGGATTACAGGCATGAGCATCTGACACCTTGCTGGGTTGTCACCTTTTAATAAAATTTTAAAGAACCAAATTTTGACATTTTGGATGATCTCTCTTGACACCGTTCTCATTGGGTTTTCCTGTTTTTGTTTCTTCTCCTTCCACATTCACTGGATACAGAGGCTCTTCCTCCTCTACTTTCTCAAAAAGGTATCATCACTTTTTTCTTATGTAACAACTATTTTAAGCTACTAGGATTTGATGCTGTTGTGCTGTTCATCCATGATTTGAAGTTTTCAATAACATTTCACAAGCTCTTGAAAATTGTTATGTGTAAGCCCTAGTAGAGAAATCAGCACATGACACACACAGGTGGTTTACCAAAAAAGAAATACAAGTTACCAATGAACACATGAAATGCTTCTCAGTCCCACTGTAATCAAAGAAATCAAAATTGTAATGGTAAGATAATTCACCACTTAGCAAATTGACAAAGATTTCAAACAAAGAGGGGAGTGTTTAGCATGTTCAAGAATTAAAGAGCAGTGTGGTGGTTCAGGCTGGTAATCTCAGATATGTAGGAAGTGGAGATTGGGAGGATCATGGTTTGAAGCCAGCCCAGACAAAAGTCAGCAAGACCCCAACTCAATCAACAGGCTGAGTGTGGTAGCACACATCTGTTATCCTAGCTACAAAGGTAAGAGGATTGTAATCTGAGGCCAGCCCCAGGCAGAAACATGAGACCTTATCTGAAAAAATAACTAAAGCATAAAAGGGCTGAGGGGCATAGCTCAACTAGTACAGCACCTGCCTAACAAGCACAAGGTTCTGAGTTCACTTTTTTGGGGGGAAAGCAGTACTGCGGTTTGAACTCAGGCCCTAAATTCAAATCTTAGTATCATCAACAACAATAATAACAAAAAGAATTATGGGAAATGAGTGTTACAATGCACTGAGAAGCATGACATACTTCATGTGAATTATGGTCTCTGAGTGACTGTGTTCCAAATCTACAAACTGAGCCCCTAACCCCAGCTTCTGCACTGCCCAAGTGCAGTCATGACTGTTTTGATGTCGTGTGATGACATGAGATATACCACTTAGTATGTCTAATGCTTAATGTCTCCTCAGTCAGTCATTATCACAAGGACAGAGGAAAGGGTAGCTAGCTCGATAGATACAGATGGTGAATGGGAAGGCAATAGGTAGATAGGTAGATAGAGGATAGATTTGATAGATGATAGATGATATAGATAGGTAGATGATAGATAGATAATAGGTAGAAGAAGATGGATGATAGATAGATAGATAGATAATAGATAGACCAGTAAACAGAGACAGAACATTTCCTGATTGTGCTGCTGGTCTCTTGTGCATGTCTGCTGGTGATGGTTCTGGGGGACCATGTACTGTGGGGCATGGACTTTTCAAATAAAGGGAGGCTGTAATTTATGTGCAATGCAGCCATAGGCCTCGAAGAATCCACAAAAATTACAGATGTAGCTGAGATGTAATAATCATAAAAATATTGTGAACAACTTACACTGATAAATTTAAAGTCAAGATGTTACAGATGCCTTTCTAGAACATAGTTGGTGTAAGAAAAATAAAAATTTGAATACATTGACAGCTATTAAATTGACAAGGTAGATTTAAATGTACCCCCTTTTCACTCATCATTTCCCCCAAATGACCCCAGCTGGATGATCTTTGAGGTGAGAAGAACCAAAATTTCAAGGAAGATATTGTCTTCTCCTTGTCCGAATACATAAGTGAGGAAGGTGGGGGTGGGGTGATTGTGTTACTTGACACCAAAGTTAGGACAGAAATGACTTTTAGGTAAGATTAATCAGTTCCAAGAACATAAAATGTCACAATCACACATGATTTCCCCCAGAAATGCAGGAATGATTAATCAGCAGAAAAACCTATCAATTAAAGACTAAGAAAAATTATGGGATTGTTGCAGTAAGCATAGAAAAAATACTAGATGGAACTCAATATTCCTCATAATAAAAACTCTTAGAAAGCTAAAAATATTTCCAAATAGGCTACAGAGGAGGGCACATGGTGGGGAAAGCCACCCATAGTGAAATAGAAGGTCCTCATTTCACTTCATGTTCTGATGATGTCACTATGCCATCATGGTGACAGGTGTATTTCATGAAACATACATTTATATTCATTAGAGAAAAGAGAACAAGTCTTTAGCCTTACAAGCCATGCCCTGTTGCCTGACAGTGAGGACCTGTCACAAAGCGATGATAAAAAAGTCAGAGGCAAGCATGTCTGAAGGCCAGGAATATGGCAGCAATGCAGAAGGAATAGCAGAAATGTAGGCAGGACATCGCTTGCCCTTTTTCATTTTGGGTGAGCCAACTAATTTAATTTTCTTGTTTTTTCTAGTCTCTCAATGGCTTTGCTCTGGTGGTAAGTGCAGAAGGGTTGATTTTTTATGCATCGGCAACCATCGTGGACTATCTGGGCTTCCACCAGGTAATGAAGCAAAGATTGCCTTAGTGTGCTAAATGTTGCATTCTGTCTCCTTCACACATGTATGTTGTCCTCAAAGTTTAAGGATATCTAAGATCAAAATTCTCATGTCACTGAGCTTTTATCAGCTAGGTTTCTACAGCCCAGCTTCATCTACAACAGTGTGTCCTCCAGGCTCAGTGGAGGGGCGACAGTGGTGGGTGCACCTGACTGGGCTGTGACTCTGCCTCTGACCTTTCACACTCATTGCACTGTTGGCAGCATCATCTATTCAGCACCCTGTGTCTTAGACTGCAGATACTCAGTACATTGCAGATGCAGTTTGTTCAGGAATGCCTTTATTGATATGCAAATTATTCATTTGGAGTTCAAGCCACCCTAGGTTGGATGGTTCCAGACCTTGGGGCAGAGAACTGGGGCTCTGCCATGGAAGGATAACTCATCCAAGAACAGGTCAGGAAGGAAGAAGAAGCCTCTGATGGGAAGTAAAAGGTTGAGTTCAGAATCCACGTCTGTACTAGATGAGGGCTCCCAGACCTGGAAATGAAACAGAGACAGACAAATGAACTCACGGGGGCAAAGAAGCAAAACTGGGGCCCTTTAGTTGCCCTAAACAGGCTACCCCACTGAAGATGAGCTCAGTACAAAATTCTAAACACTCAGGAAGCCATGGATGAGAAGCAGAAGACAACAGACAAAATAAACAGATCTGGCCCTTCCAAAAGAACCTAAAGTAATAAGGCACTCAAGAGAAGCTAGGAAACAAGTGCATTTGAAATAGTAAACGATTAAAGCACCCTGTGATGAAAAAAAAGAACAAATAGAACTTTAGAAAATGAAGAAGCTAGGATATTAGTCAGATTGGGCTGGGGGCAGAAACTGTGCCATCATTTTGCAGCTTAACACAGGAGTAAGTCAGTTGGCAAAGGAAGTATTGACTAGCATTGCAGAATTATCAGTAAAGAGCAAAGAGAGCTCTGAAGGGCACCAGGCACCCAAAGGGCCATCTTGGGGACCCCATCCAAGGTTGAGAGCCAGATCATGTGGGTACAGTGGAGAGGGTCACTGAGGGGGGTGCCAGTCCAGGGTGGCCAGCAGGAAATGCCCCCCTGAGGCTGCTGATTGGAGGGACCATAGGCCCACTGAGCAGGCAGGAGCATGATGGTCCTGCCTGGCACCTCTGTTGGCAGAGGGTAGATGCTCTGGGGTTTGGGACTGGCATCAAGAAGGGGAGTGTAGGACAGCAAAGCAGTGTGGAGAGAAATTAAAATCAAAATCTCACTGTTCAGGCAGAAAACCAAGAGCTACACAGAGCCAATTTAGTGGAAGCCAGATCTGAGAGTGTGGGTCCCTGACACATTACTAAAATTCAAGTCAGCCTGAGGCCAGCTTAGCGTTTTATCTAATTTCCAAAAAAAATCGTAATTTTGAATAGTTTTCCAGAACTGAAACAGCTGTAGCAATTCCTTACACTTGCCTTTAAGTTTAACTTCCTGCCACCTGAGCCCAAGTCCAGTGTCCCTATGAACTGGGGACTTAGAACTTATCCTGATTCTTTCCTGTCCCTGGTCCTAGGAGATGATGCATGGTGTCATATGCACACACATCGCTTCTGCCTGGGGCAGTCTCTTCTCCAAGGTTCTCTCCAGACACAGCTCATCACTAGTTCTGGATCAGCACCCATTGCCATGTGGAAGACCCCAGGGGATAGCTGTGTGCAGTGAGAGTAGAGAACATCGTGCAGTGGATATCATTTCCAGGGCTCTGGCAGTGTTGTGTGTGGGGTGCAGCTCAGGCATGCTCTGCCATCCAGAAACCACCTGTCTGCTCTGAGCCTTATTTCCTTCTTCCCACAGTGGGCAGCAGTGCCATCTTCCCAGGCTGCTTCTAGGACCACCTGGTAAAAGATGAACCCCCCCCACACACACACAGAAGGAGGCACTGGCATTTCTCTGACTGCTCTTGGCCTGTGACACCTTGGATCTGCCAAGTGCTGTTTGTGTGGAATTCTTCATGTCCTGGAGATGCACCCAGTCTATGGGAACCTGAAGTTAGGGCATGAGTCCCTCCTCCCCAACAGGATAGCAGTACCTGGGGTGGCCTGAGGCTTCACTGAGTCATTCCACCTCCTAAACTCAAATCCATTGAGTTCATTTACACAGTGATAGGTGGAGAAGAGTGGACACTGTGTTTGCCACAACTTGATGCCTCCCTTATTGTGGTGTCCCAGTGCCCTGGATGGTGCAGAGCTTGGGGATGAGGCAGACAGGGATATGGTTCAGTGACGATTATTTCACCTGAAGTAGACAGCCCTTCATGTAATCTCTAGCCCTGTGTACATGTCTAATTCTAGACAAAGTCATTTGCCTGTCTTCCACATGCTCACCATCACTTTGGTTCTAGTCCCTGTCTCCTGAGCAGCCAATGAGCTCCTCAGACACGGGACCGCCTCCCTTTAGCCCCAAATGATGGTCCCACCATAGGATCTGGTGCTGGGGACAGAGGCAGGTGCTGTGATGAGAGACTCTGACTCTGGACCAGAGCTTGCACTCTGGATCTTTGTTTTCTTGGAGTTCCATTATTTCCCTCCATGTGTTAGAAGTATAAAGTAGTATTGACTTTATTACAAAGAAATTGTTTCCAAATGCCATTAAAGCAGGCATTGCCTGCAGTTTATGCAAACTATTTCATGCGAATGTCACAACAGCCTGTGCTCTTGCAGCCTCTCGTGCCAAATGCTTTATGAAAACTCAGAAGCAGCTCCTTCCTGTTGCAGCCCAAGCATACCATCCAGCATAATCTCCAGGTCAGCATGCCTATGATAACCTTGATCTTTAGGTATGTGCTTTATACCCTGATGTTCATTAATTCAAGAAGCTACCCACCCCTCACCATAGCTGAGAGCAGAGTGAACTAGCACATTACAACCCAGTAGTCTGAGCAGGCACAGCTCTGCAGGCACAGTTAGCAGATGCACATACACTTTTGTACAAAAAAGTAAAAAAGAATTGCTGGGTATGCATTATTAAAGATGGTATGCCACTATTGTGAGCTCCATTCATGGAGCTCAAAGCCAAAATGAAGACTGACTTCCCTTGATGGAAACAGTGCAGTCTGAGTAGCTATGTGTCACTCTGTCCCTCTTCCCCCCACCCCATTATTTCTCTTGATGTCCCTTTGTGTCACCAGCTCCAGGATATCAGGAAGGAGGTCAAGTGGTCAGATCTGCTGGTTATTGAAACACAGGAATTTGTTTCCTCAACCTAAAAGCCCTCATTCTACCCTGTCTTCAAATTTGTCTTAGAAATGTCCTTCACAGTTTTATTGTGCCCTCTGCCAGGTCTGTCTGTCCCTGTTGTGGTTAACTGTAGACTCACACTCGTGTTAACTTGAAGCCCTTTCATTAACTAACCAAGGTATGTAGAGATGACAGATGAGGCTTTTTGGGTTATCACTACTCTCCAGGGCTCCTACAAAACTCAGTCACCGGCCAAAACTCATGAGGTCGTGTGTGCGTCCAGGGCATGCTCACTGCTTTGTTCTGAGAACTGTGGCTTTCCAGTCAGCACCACAATTCCTCTAATCAAAACCATAGAGGGAAAAACACCAACTGCCACAGGATTAAAACACCAAATTCCAAGGAATGAATCCATCAAACAACTAACAGTATCTCCACACAGAAAATAGAAAGCGTTGTATTTAAGGAAATCAAGGCTGGCGTAGATACATGGAGAGATATATCATATCCACAGGACTCAACACAGCTGTAAGATGTCAACTTTCTCCAAATCAAGTTACAGAGCTAATGGAATTACAACAGAAACTAAGCAGCTTTTGGTGGACGTTGGCACTCTAGACTCTCCATGGACAGGATGAGGCTAAGAATGCCAAGGCATACAAGAAAGGAGGAGAAAGGTTGCAGGAGGGATGACTGTGGGTCCTGAACACAGTTGCAGAAAGGCTCAGGTGACAGCTGTGTGGGATTGTGTGAAATCAGGTGACCACAGTAGCTGATGACCTCTACTGCCGGTAGCAGGGAAGGATGGTCGCATCACATCCAATGCTGCATAACCTGAATCCAAGCTGGCAAAGGACTCTCATGTCCTTCCTCAAATCCAGAGTAATATCAGGGGGCAGACAGAAGTTTCTAGAAGGTGTCATGGCAGAGTTAGGAAATCCATGGGAAAGGCTTCTAAAGCAGGACCAAAACCCATGAGTCAACTGTGCATAGTCCTTGGAGGGGGTGGGCAGGTGGTCTGAGCAGCAGAAGGTGTGCCATGGAGCATGTCTATGGGGTGCTCAGCCCACAGCCAACAAAGAACAAGTGAGCAGGACAGCTCAGAGGGGGCCTTAGAAAGACAATCTGACAGCACACACGCATCAGAACACATTCACACATAGACAGACATACACACACATGCACACACAGACACAAGTGCACACACACACCAATGCACACAAATGCATGCACACACATCTAAAAACCAATAATTTCAGGAGAAGACCATCATTCTTGTTAGTCTATGTGGCATGTAGATTAAAACCACAAGAAGCCACTACACATCCACCATGATGGCTAAACTGAAAAAGACTGAAAATCCAAACGTTGGCAAGAACGTGAAGCAACCAAAATGTTCTACACCACTGCAGTGGGAGTGTGTGTTCCTACAGCTGTTGTGGGAATGAGTAGCTATGAACAGGGGCCCCTTTCTGCCCTGTGACACACAACCCCGCTGTGTCCTAATAGACATGCAGCATCATGCAGATGGCCGGGGGACCCAGCCAGCATCCATGGGCAGGAAAACAGCTGCCCAGCCATGCAGTAGCCACATAGCAAAGTGTCACAGCACAAAGCTGAGAACATGATGCCATATATGGGCCAGTCTCACAGTTGTGACACCCAGGAGGAGGGCAAGACCCCAAAGAACTCAGTATCCCTTTGGAGGACGGTTCAACCTGTGCTGGGGGGCATGGATCATGATTCAGGGGCCAAAGGGGACATCTGAAAGACTCCAAGGTCCAGCTTCCTGAGAAGGTGTTTTAGACAAGGTTTTCTCAGGCTGCTTGTCAGCCTCTATATTTCACTCCAATCTCAAAAGTTCATCATGGCTAGGCACTAGTGACTCATGCTTATAATCCTGGCTACTTGGGAGGCTGAGATCAGGAGGATTGAGGTTTGAGGCCAGATAGGCAAAAAGTTTGTGAGACCCCCATTTCAACCAATGGCTCAGCACGGTGGTATACACCTGTCATTCCAAACTATGAGGGAGGCTGAGACGAGGAGGATCATAATTCTAGGCCAGCCCAATAAAAGTTTGCAAGACCCCATCTCAACGGATAAAAGCTAGGCATGATGTCATGTGTCTGTCTCCCACTGAAGACTGCAAGCTTGAAACAGGCTGATTGAAGACCAGGCCAGCCTGGGCAGAAAGCAAAATTCTATCTCCAAAATAACAAGAGCAAAAAGAGCTGGGTGTGTGGCTGAAGTGGTAGAGCACCAGCCTTGCAAGGACGAAGTGCTGAGCTTAAACACCAGTACTGCAAAACGGAAAAGGAGAGAGAGAGAGAGAGAGAGAGAGAGAGAGAGAGAGAGAGAGAGAGAGAGAGAGAGGAGAGAGAGAGAGAGAGAGAGAGAGAGAGAGAGAGAGAGAGAGAGAGAGAGAGAGAGAAGAGAAGAAAGAAAAATGGAAAGAGAGAGAGAGAGATAAGGAAAAGAAAGAAGAAAAGCCCATCAGGAAAGCTAGAGAGCTTCTTCTATGGGGGGTGAGGGGTCTGTATCTGCCCATCAGCCTTACATTCCCCTTCAGAATCTTGACCCTGGGCTCTGTCTAACCACTTCTTTCTGTGAAAAACGCTTTCTCCAGACAGAGGATGCCAACTCCTCGCTTTGGCTGCACTCCTCTGCTGCCTCCCTGAGGTTGCAACTTGTTTGACGTCTGAAGTCCTGCAGGGTTAGCCAGACAACAGTTAGTTTGAGGGGAAAAGATGGTGGATCTCATCCACTCTGGGTGAGTTTGCTAGTTGCATTCTTAAAGGGTAAACATTTTCTAAGGTCTTGATTCCTATGGGACTTATTCCCTATTGTGGAAGAATCCTCTACTTATAATGATCACTTCAGAAATGATTTAGAGGAAAGCTGATTATGAGAATCCAGTCCCACAGAAGCCCAGCAGTGGGTGGTGGGTGTTGACAGGCCGTGTTCCAAGTGCGGATCAGAAGCTCCATTGTTACAAGAAGGTAGAGGGAAGAGGGTACCTGGGCTGGGCCTTTGTGGTTTATCAACACACTCTGAGAACCTTTTCACCCATTATGGCACAGTGGAAACTCCCGTGTCAGTCTTCATAGCTTGAGGTTTTCAGCTCTGTCCACAAGACCACAGTCTTTCAATAAGGACCTTGGTGCCTAAAAGGGTTGACTTCCCCTAAGCCCAGATTCACTTCTCAGAAGGTGTGCAGACAGAGGACCAGAAAGAGGCCTGTGAGTTGGTGAGCCCTTCTAGGCATCTCATACGTGGGCAGGTCAAGGCATTTGGCACAACTGGCCATGGGACATGCAGTAATAGGAAACAGAAGCTCTTGAACCATAGTTTATTTAGGAAAGTGAACATCTTGACCCAAAGCACTTATGGCCCAGATGTCCATCTCAGCCCTGAGGGTAGGTGCGTGGGCACTACTAGATAGGCCAGGGCCTGGGGATCACCAAAGTGCACCTGGCCTTGAACTGGTGAGGCCTGGAGGGCCACACAGCTCATGGAGTCATGTCCTTCAAAAAGGGGCTGTCAGACCCCCAAGGACAAGGGTCCGTTTTTCTCTACACAGACATAACTTACTTTTGACAGAAGAACATGGAGAATCTGCAGTTTTTAATCGCAGGATAAGCATGAAAATTCAGAGTAGGACTAAAATAACTGTGTTTTGATATTTCAGACAGATGTAATGCATCAAAACATTTATGACTATATACATGTGGATGACCGCCAGGACTTCTGTCGGCAGCTACACTGGGCTATGGACCCGCCGCGGATGGTGTGTGGGCAGCCCCCACACACGGAGACAGGTGGGCCAGCCCCAGCTCTGAGTACCTCACGTATATGCGTGTGCTGCACTTTCCTCTTTGTCCTTGTGGGATTCCCCCAGAATACTCCTCCCCATGCCCCATGTCCTGCAAAGGCCCATCACACGGGCTTTCACATCCTTCCACCATATGACCAGTACTTGAGATACTCAGCTCATGCAGAGAAAAGGTTTATTTTGGCTCAGTTTTGGATATGTCAGTCCTAGAAGGGGGAGAATTGCTTTAGGCCTGCAGTAGGACACAGTACATCATGGCAGGAGTGCCTGGTGGAGCAAAGCCACTTACCTCATGGCCAGGATGAAAAAGAGAGGAAGAAAAGGTTGGAGACCCACTGTCCCCTCAAGGGCACACCCTCAATGACCTAAGACCTCCCACTAGGCTCCACCTCCTAAAATTTCCCCCACCTCCTAACAGTGCCATGGGCAGCGGACAGAGCCTTCAGCACATGGGCCTTTGGGAGACACTCAAGACCCAGATTGTAGGGGCTCTGCCACACTTGAGACTCCCAGTTCTCACCACCTCGCAAGAGCTGTGGTACATGTCCCGCGTATCTGCCAGGAAGTTTCTTTGGCCCAATTTAAATTTATCTAAAAAGCCCCCAAAGTGTTGACTTTGGGGGGAGGGTAGCTATGCTTTGTGCACAAAAAACCTGTAAACTGCTCCTTGCCAGCCCCGTTCTTAAGCTCATCTTAAAGATGAGCTGGGCAGGTATTAGAAGCCTCAACAGGCAGCAGACAGAGAGTGGTGGGCTCAGAGGGGAAGGGGACAGGTACCTCTGGGCTTGAAGGGAGGTCATGTTCCCAGGGGTCCCTGCAGAGGACTGTTCCCTGGTTCTTTTACACACATGCACAGAAACTAAGTAGTTCAAAGAAAAGTTTCCACCCATCCTCATACAACGATATTTACCTTACTAAGCTGAAAGTAAAGCACAAACCCCAGGTGCCCACATGCAGGACCATTTACAAAGCTCAAACAACCAAAACTGAACAACAAATCCATAGTCTCAAATGCATAGAACTAAAAACTGTTTGTAAGGGCGGGGGATGGGGATGGTGAAATCCATCAGAGCGCTATTTCTCTGGGGGCCATGGGGGATGGGAGGGGCTAATGGAGATCACCTTAAACCAGCTGGGGTGGCATGTTTGTCGCAAGCTTTGTGGCTGACCACTACACCTTCCACCTGTGGTTATGACTGTCTCTGTCACTGTCTGCTTGGCCTCACCACCATGCCCTGTGCTGTCTTGGCAGATGACACTGTGCTGGGGAGGCTGCTGAGGGCCCAGGAAGGGGGAACAGGCTCGCCCTCGGTGTACTCTGCCTTCCTGACGCGCTGCTTCATCTGCCGTGTGCGTTGCTTGTTGGACAGCACCTCTGGCTTTCTGGTAAGTAGGCAGACCCTAGGTGGCCCTTCTGCCATCTGGGGTACCTCTTCCCTGGTGAGGAGGAGGCAGGAGCACCTTGGGTGGTGGGAGGGTGAGCTCTGTGTTGAGGATCCAGCACACAAACCAGCAGCACCAGGCCTTGAAACCTCTGGTGCTGGGTGAGTGAAAATGGGAGGCCCACCACAGGACAGGCAGAGAAGCAGGTACAATGTTTAAAAACCAACAGCAGGCTCTTATTCAAGTTTAGTTGTAACTTTATTTAATATTAGTTTTAAACCCTTTTACAAATGTAACTTACATCCTTCAGAGTGTCACCCACGAGAACAAGGGGCAGAGGGGTCCTCCCACTGTGGTTGGCCCTGGCCGAGGCCCATGGTTCCTGCCCAGCTCTCTCACAGCCAGCATGTGTGTTACCACTTCTCCTACTTGACCATTTCCTCCTCCAGCTCCACGTTGAAAGGGAGGAGCATCCTCTTAGGACCAAGCAAAGCCAAGACCCCTCCCCGACCTTGCAGGCCTCCAAGGTATCTGTCTTTCTAGAGTCTCAGCGCCTGGACCCCACACTATCTCTTCTGGGTCACAGCTGTCCTGAGAACCCCTGGGACCTCCACATGCAACCCCTCTCTGACTAACTTTAGCCCCTGATGGGCAGGCTCCTCAGGCTTAGTGTCCCAATCTGATCATGGACTTGAGACCATGAGCTCCCATGGCCACTGCATGTTGTCCCTGCCACCCTGCCTAGACTGTGGACCCAGTGGAGGAGGCCCTCTCCACCACCTGAATCATGGGCCATGAGGATCACATCTCCTACCTGGACCATAGGCCCATGGGGTCCTGTCTCTCCCACCTAGACCATGGGCCCTGGAGTGGTCTTGTCTCCCTCACCTGGATCATGGGCTTTGGGGGTCCCGTCTCTCATATCTGGACTGTGGAGCCCCAGAAGTTGAGCCCTGGTATCTGCAGAACCCAGAGGAGCTCCCCAGGGCTGGGCTGACAATTGTTGGGGGGCAGTCTTAATGCATCTTAGGGGATGAGACCTGGAGATGCCTAGGCTGAAGTCTGCCTGGGAGCCCAGATTCCCTTGGAGATTTTCCTGAATCACTCTGGCCTCATCCTGCTCCACACCACTGGCTCTATGAGTTACCCCCCAAACTGGCTTTCAGGGATCATTCTACACATTTGAGTTGTCATCCTTGGCTTATCAGAATGTAAGATCTCATCCATGTTGTTAACTCAGAACCCCCAACCTCTGTTTCTCTCCAAATAGCTCAGGGGGAGAGGGTCCTAACCAGCTGGTGGGCCACCGTATCTTGTTTTTTATAAGCTTTTCTGTTCATTGGTTGATTTTGTTTTTGCACTAACAGCTCTTTTTAAAAATAAAAACATTAATTATATCTAATGCAAACTCAGTCCCTTCAGAAGAGTAGAGGAGGAAAAAAATGTCCCATCCTTGGCCCACTCCAGGCTCACTCTGGACATCAGTTCCCCAGTCCTTCCTTAAACCTCAGGGCAGCTCCCAGGCCCCACAGTCCCCCTCTTTCTTCTCATGTCATGCCTGAGGTTGTCCTTGCCCAGCCCCTCTGCTTAACCCCACAGAGTTTTTGATAATATTTTGACTCCAGCCATTTAGCCAAGAAGTGGTGACTGATTCTTGCCTTCTAGATTTTACTTTGCTGGTCATTTTCCCCACCGAAAAATCCACATCTGTATCTTTGATTTCAAAAATTGAGATATTAATCTTTAAGAAGTATAATTTAGCTGAAATAACTTTTGGATTATATGGTCCAAGGGAACAGGAAAGAGGCTGCTGGAGGGACGATGGTCCCTGCTGGACCAGCCTTCTCAGACCTTGAGCCCAGGATGACCTGCACATCTCTTCAAGAGCCCATGCAAGAGGCCTCTTTTCACTTTATCCAACACCCTTAGCTCTGCTACTCCTACATACAGGATCATTCATCTTTTATCTAAACAGTTGACAATTAAGTCTCTTAATTTGAAAACATTTTATTCTAAATTTGAGGATAATAAAGAGTTAGTATTTATTGGCTGATAAGAAATGTTGCTGGTAATTGGGTTTTTTTTACTATGCAACAGAGAAGAGATTGAAATATGGCTTAGAGTGAAACTGCAAGCAGCCAATAGAGGAATTAGTTTGCAGCTAAAGTTGCCATAAGGCCTACAGAAATAAGTGTCTGATTGTATATTGCTCTTAAAATCATTACTCCACACCAGTTTACAGAGAATGATAGGTCATGTGAGTCACAGGTGACCTGCATAAGTTCACAGGCTCTCCCCACGTTAATCCATAGTCTAGACAGGGTGCTGGTCCAGTTGCTGCTTCTGTGGTGCCCAAAGGACCACTTGTTAGCATTCTGGGAATTTTGAGATCTGGTTGACTTTAGGTCGATATCTTGAATCAGCCATGGTGGGAATATTCAGAATATTTACATCAAAGAAATTGGAAACACTGAAAATTTGGGATTGTTTTCCCTGGATAGCCAGATGTTAAGTATTTCCTAGCACACCAACCTTGAAACCCCCACACCAACTATGTGGCAGGTGCTCAGTAGGTGCAAACGTTTGTTCATTTAATAAACCATGGGTGGAGGGAGGGACAGATAAGGTGGGTGAAAAACTGGAAGGACGGATGGATGGAAGGAGTATGCGTGGAAGGACAGATGGATGGGTGAGTAAGGTAGATGGAAGAAGGAAGGAAGGAAGGTAGGGAGGAAGAGAGGGAGGGAGGGTTAGATGGGTGAAGACATGGAAGGTTAGAGAGAGACTGTGGCTTCTACTGAAGGCAGGTGTGCCCTGCAGGCACTTGGGTACTAACTCAGTTACACATCAGCCTTCCCTTTATAAAAGTTCTTTTATATTACAAACTCCTAAGCTATTTGCTTGCTTTTTAATTCACACAATACATTCTAGATGAATAAAATCAAGCTGTCCTTAAGTTCAAACAGCCAGACAGTAGCTGCTGGCTCAGGGATGGGTTTCTATTCTATGCTATTCTGTGTCCAGGTACATGTGTGTTCATGCCCACATGTGTGTGGTGGCACACACACACACACACACACCTACACAAACAAGAATATGTTGCCCTCAAAAGGTCACAAACACTGCAGAGGAACCTGGGGTAGAGCTGGTCCAGTAGTCTGAGCTTGGCAGATCTCAGTGGGAGACTGAAATGAGGCCTTCTCCACAACTTTATCTGTGTAAATCAGTTGCCTTCACACACTGGAGCCTGCTCTGTGAACACTCTGCTTTTCTCTTTAAAATGTCAGACCATGCAATTCCAAGGAAAACTAAAATTCCTGTTTGGACAGAAGAAGAAGGCGCCATCAGGAACAGCCCTGCCCCCTCAGCTCTCACTGTTCTGCACTGTGGTGCCAATCATCCTACCTTCTGTGGCAGAGATGAAAATGAAGAGTGTGTTCTTGAGGGCAAAGCACAGGGCAGACATCGCAGTCACATCAGACCCAAGGTGAGAAAGAATCGCTACATTGTAGCCACAAAATGTCACAGCAAAGGCCTCCAGGCTTCCTAGTCTCTTAAAGCTAGTATACTGTGTAGACAACAAAAGTGCTCTTCAAACACATCTACAGACTGTGCACTACACTCTGCTAGTGTGACAGATCTGAAGCCGTCCCATCACAGAGCCAGGCTCAGAGGCAGTGCCCGGTGAGAGGTCAGGGCTGCAGTCTCTGCCTCTTCCTTGGGCTGTGCCTCATCCTCACACAATCCAGACACTGAGAACTGGCCACTAATAGGACTTGTCAGAGGAGACTAGCCTATCTACAGGCTACACCTGGCAGCCTCTGACATGAGCTCAAAATCAGTGCCCAGGGACTACCACCCTCCTTTTGGGGTGTGACTTCAGCCCACCACAGCACCTGTGACTTACCTCTGCCCTTTGTAGACAGCTCTGTGTATGGCAGTAGTCACTCAAAGGTTTCTATTCTGTGTTCTGGGTTCCTGTGTTCATTGTGTTCCTTCAGCTCATGTGACTGGCCTCCTGAGTCAGCGCACCTTCATGTCCTACAGTGTGCAGGGTGGACAAAGGCAGTGCCTACAATGGAGGTGGGGCCTAGGGCTTTACTTCGAGCCATTGAGCTGAGAATAGCAGACTTCTAGAATGTTCTAAAACTAAACTTATATGCCTACTTATTTTTTAAGATACAGTATATAAAATATGAGGGAAGAAAAGGCACAAAGATAAGAGATGTGGCCGATGCCAGAGCCTAACGATAAGGTGGACCCCATCTTGCAGGAATCAGGGCAAAGGTCAGGGTGTGTGATCCCTGCAGGGTCTGCTCTGCTAAACCTGAAGTGTTATGCCTTCATTCACTGTCTGAGTTTTCTGTGTTTTAAAGGCTGAGTTAGCTTGTTTTTTTCACAAAGTCATAGGAGTTTTCTCGTTCCCATAGGCTTTTCTAGCCCTAAAGCAAAACGCTAAGGGGTCCTAATGTTAGCTCAGAGCTGAGCCAGGAAAGCAGTTTCCTGCTCTCTCTGGTGTCCAAGTGCGGAAGTGCAGGACTTGGTGCCTGCCCACCCCATCCTTGGGCCCAGGTGGAGGCAGGTTGGAGAATGGCCTTCTCCCTGTGGGTGAACACCTAGATGGACTTGTAGGATTTGCAAGGACAATAGCCCAAAAGGTAGCTGTCATACTATACAGAATACTGAGATTCAGAAGGGAGAAAAATGTCCAGGTAGAGAATATGGCCCCACCCCGTAGGTGTTTAGGGATCCACCCTGCTCTGATCTGAATTCAGAGCCGGCTGTCTATAGGCACACGATGGTCCACTGAGTCCATGTGCAGAGACACGTGAGCCCAAGGTCCTGAGACCAGGTCCTGGTTGTCTGGGGAGCAGCCATTGCCTTCATGGCTTTTCCTGATGGGATTTCATGGCAGGTCCTTCATCCAGTTTGCTCCAGGAGCCCACTGTGTGCTTTTGCCTGTGCGCTAAAACTTATTTCAACCCCCAAACTAACATTTGCTATACTGTTGTGACCTCTCATAGACACACAGTGGTGAAAAATGTGATTTTCATGAAGCTCACATTCCCATCAGAAAGCTATGCCACCAGACATTCCTCCCCCTGTGGCTGGGTCTCAGCTCCTCCAGGATCCCAGGCACAGAGGGATCAACCATGCAACACAAGAGGCTTTGACTTAGGACAAGTGGATTGCTGGAGTTTAAACCCCAATGCTGGCACCCACTAACCTATCACCTCACATTTCTCTTTGGAAAAGTAAAATGAGCCTATCAGGATGATTCAAGATTATAGCCCACTTACCATATGCACATGCACATGCAGACATCCGCACGTGTATACACACAGGCACAAGAGTAGGCACATACACATACTCTTCCCCTAGAAGCTGTGGCTTGGGGCTCATCCATTCATCATTCATGGTGTCTTCAGAATAGAACTTCTTTGAATCACAAGAGTAAACTGTATTCTGGACTTCCAGAAAAAATACAAGCCCTAAAAGTCACTTTAGTGCACGTCTACCTTCTGAAGCAATTTATTAGCCCTTTATTGGTTCAAAAACTTATGATTCTGAATTTTAGTAATCTGTAACAGAGAAAAAAGACTTTATGAGCCATAAAGATTGAAAAGTGTTATTACTGTTCTGTTTTCTCCTCTCAGGCATGACAGTGATACTGTAATTGATTATCCCTTCCATCAACGTATGTTTAACCTACATTTATTTTGCTATTATCTGTTCTTTATAGGGCAAAATCTACCATGAGTCTGTGTGGATCAGAATTGCACCGAAAGCCCAATTACTTAGCAGGTATATCTAAAGCTTCTCTGTCTCACTTTTTTAAGTGGATAAAATGCCTGTCCCTGGGAGAGCTCTTCACCTATGGAATCCTGTGCATTCCATGGAAATGTCACTCAACAGCTGCCAGCTGCTACCACTGATCCTACTCTTCCCTCTATAAACCCTAACAGGGAGGAGCAATGGAGAAAATGGCATCTCAGTGTTCAGAGCACCAACAGATGGTGGCCACTGGACTCGGGTTCTAGCCAGGGCCCCATGCCTGTGCTTCAGGGGCAGCCCTGATCCCATCCTGGACTCCGAGGGGGCCACAGGGTAAGTGGGGCTGGGTCTTTCAGCCTCCACCCCTTGTTAAGTTACCATAGAAGCCAAAATGAAAGTGGGTATGGAGAAAAAAGAGCCAACATGGTCCTGACTACCTGAGGGGCCATCTGAGCCTTCTCACTGTCTAGTCTGTGCCCAGATACCCTCTCAACCAGGGCAGCACTGGATGGGGGACAGTAAGGAGGAGTGGCTTGGTTCAGACACCCTCCCCACTCTTAGTCCCTCCTGAAGGCCACCTGCCTGCCTGCCCCAGCTGTGCCCCTCGCCCAGTCCCACTCAGTGGTCTTGCTTACCAGACTGGCTGCTGCATCACCCTCCAACCACTGTTTCCCATCACACAGGTGCCTGACCTGAGATCATGTAGTGTCCTGTTGGTCAGCCACAGGGCCTGGCCTTTCAGTTTGCCAGCCTCTCCAATCCCATTTGCCTGTGTTAGTCACGACCCATGTGACTGATACTGGACACTGATGCCCCAGAGATACCTTTCTTCAGCAGGGCAGGCAGCATGCACCACTTGTTGTCCAAGCACCTAGGGGCCGATGCAGGTGAGGGAAAACAAGGGAGGGTCCACACTGGCCTCTCAGACTGCCAGAGGGCAGGGAAGAGGGGTCTGAAAGGAACAGTGTGGTCTAGGCCTGGCTTGAAGTTTCTGCTGGAGATACAGCCAGTGTCATGTTAAGTCAGTGTCCACCTGTAGAGAGGCTGAGGTTCCCTTCAGGGATGAGGTCCATGGCCTCTGTCATTGTTTGATGGCCATCTCTGATCTGCAGGGACAGGGAAGAAGAGGAGCAGGAGAGGATGCTGAGTGACTCTGCCAGAGTGAGGAGGCAGAGGGAGATGCACAGGTACAACTGCCACTCAGAGACATCAGCACCTGAAAGGCATCTAAACTGGATGACAGAACAGCGAGGCCAAGAGGGTAGCACCAAACTGAGGCTGCAACCCAGTAAGGGCGAGCCCTTCCCTGTGCGTGCCATGCCCCATGGCTCCTGCATGCCCTACCCAGGGGCCCAGGGCACATTCAGTGCCAATGGCCTGGCTACTTTCAGAGATCTGCCAGACCATCCCCCCAGTGCCTACTGCAGCCGGATGGGCAGAACCTTTCGGGACGTCTACCAGGGCCAGGTGCACCCACCCACTTGCCATGTCTCCCAGGGTAGCCTGGGGACCCGGCTCCCCCCATCTGGAGTACAGCGCTTCATGGCTGGAGGCTTCTCCACAGAGGACGCAAAGTTGCCCAGCCTGCCAGTGCCCTCCGATCCCCCATGCAATCCAGCACTGTCGCTGGAAGTACAGATCAAGATGGAAAATGACTCTGGGTCCCAGGACACAGTAGATGGCCGCCTCCCCGGCAGGGTGTGGTTGGGAGCTAGCGATGTGGCCAAGGGACATCTGGTCACATTCCCTGCCAAAGTGAACCTGAAAACCGAGCCAGACTACACGCATCAGGTCTGCACCCAACACTCCGGGCATGGCATGTTGGGGGCTCATCCCCACAGCAGGCCCACCACTGGACCCTGCAGTGAGTTGGCCCCAGTCTATCCTGCACACTGTGCCTGTATGGAGCCAGTGCCTCCCCACCACCTCTGCACGCAGAGCGGCAGAGAGAACCAGCAACCCCCTCTGGGATGTGACTGCAGAGCACCTGGGGCTGCCCCTGTGGTCAAGTGTGAGCCCATAGACTCACTCCCATGGGCTGCCCCTGGCCAGGGGGCTGTGCCTGGGATGTTCCCCAAAAGTGCCTCCATGACGCTGATCCCGCCCAGAGCCTCTGAGGCAGCTTTCCTGCCTTAGAGCTGCCACTCTTCTGTAAACTGCACTGTCCATGCTCAGGTCTACCCTGGCAGGGCTGCCTCTTCTAGTAACACTCTTTGAGGAGTCTTGCAGTGGTGCATTCTAAACTGTGCAGGATTCACAGGAGTTCTTACATGTAAACCTGAGTCTGTTCAAGAAGGACAGTATTTCTCTTAGAGGAATTAAAACATCTAAGAATGCAGCCAACAATGTCCCAGCCTGGCCACCCCTCAAGTCAACAGTCAGGACAGCCACTCAGGCCCACTGCAGCTGCCTGCCTGTGTGCTGTGGGGGTGGAGGGATAGAGGGCAGCACAGACTAGATGACAAGCAGAGCTCACCTAGGGAAAGTGAAGGTTAGCCCACCCATGGGGGCATCTAGAAAGGTCCAGGCTGCCAGTACCCAGTCTTGTACCTTGCCACCACATGCAGCAGGTACTTGTGGCTCTGAGTCAGAGTTGGAGGCCATACTTGGCATGGAGGTGGACAGGGCAATACCCTGTTCCTCCCAGTGTTTTCTGTGGACCTCTGAGGATGGCTCATGGGCCTCTGTCCCTGACGTAGCACTTGGTATAGACCACAGCATCCAGTGTGGGAGCACAGGGAAATGCAGTGCAGGCCAGTGCTGCCTGCAAGGACTTCTCCTGGGACTGGCATCCCTGAGGTCTCGGTGCAGATCAGGCTGTCAGCACAGCATGCATGCAGCAGGAGCCAGGCAGACAGGTGCTTAAGATCTGGTGCAGTCCTGTGTGGGGAAGACAGTCTTCCTCAGAGATGGGCATCTGTCTCCAAAGTCACTTCCCCAGTGGTTTTGGGAGTGGCAGGAGCCTGCTGGATGGGACCTTGACTTCTTCTGCTGCATATTCTCTGCAGCAGGAGCTTTCTCTTCATCATCTGTGGCTTTACCTCCAGGATCAGTGCAGAAGCTGTTTGGTAGATACACAGTGCCTTGCCAGAATGTGGGTTTGGTGGGCAGCACTAGGTCTTCTGCATGGCCCTGCAGCTGTCTGACTCTCAGGAGGACCGGCCATGGGCATGGGTGGCCAAAGATCTCTCAGAGTTGAGAAAACTCACCCACCTGAGCCCAGGATTAAGAGTGGTCACTTGTGGCTTCTTCATCCCTCTCAGCCCACAGCAGCCTTTCAAAAGGCGGGACAGGCTGGGGGCATGGCTCAAGTGGTAGAGTACCTTCCTAGCAAGCGTGAGTCCCTGAGTTCAAATCCCAGTACTGCTGAAAAAAAAAAAAGAAAATTTCAAAAGGTGGGACAGGGGTTGCACTGTCCTGGGTGTGAGGCCTGCTGGTGTCTCCACTTCCACTAGCCTCCTCACCCAAAACCTTCTGAAGTCAGAATGGCAGCCCAGCCCCCGTGTTCATCACATGCTTCCCTCTTCTCCCATAGCTGGCCAGCATCTGCTTTGCCCAGTTCTCCTGCTGAGCACAGCTCCCCTGAGCTTGACATTTATGCATTTACTCTTAACACAAAGGGTGGACTTTGAGTCATCCTCTTTCCTTCTTGTCCTAACCAAGTGCTAGGTTCAATCTCAGACTGGCCATATGTGGCAAAGAGCACCAGTGAAGTGTGCCATCCTTGTATTCCCTTTCAGCAAGGGCTCAGCTGCAACCCTGTCTTCAGCCAGCCTCAGCAACCCTGGTGCTTTCTTCAGAGTAATACCTGCTCCTCTCACCATGAACTGATGGGCAGAAAGCACAACAGGCAGGCAGCACTGAACATGTGTGACATGTCCCCAGTGCCCTGGAACCAACAGACAAAACCCAGAAAGCAGGAGGCCAAGAAGATGGAATTCAGAGACATCATTACATGTTTCCATCTGTAGCCAGAACCCTCCTGCCAAGGTGATAAGTACCAAATGTAGGTTCTGGGCAGCTGGGCAGGGAAGTGGGCTGCCTGGTAGAGGCCATGCTTTGTGGATATTGAGTTCCACATCTATATGTCAATTCTGCAGGTTTTGTGCTTTGGGAACACCATGTAATGCTGACAGACATGGTGCCAACACTGCATCTGAGGTAGCAAAAATCCCCTCAAACTCCAAAAATCCATGTAGAAAGGTGATCATGGTACATAGAAGGTGCATAGCAGTCACTTCTGCTTTAGGATGTCATTATCAGTACTAACTGCAGGCTTGTGCTTTAATGTGGAATGTACCTCTTGCCTATATAGCTGACAAATATCAAAATAAATATAATGTTGGATGCGCTAGAAGGGAGAGGGTGAACACAAGCTATAGTCTATATTTTGCAGTTTCTGTTGGAAGAACAAAGATCCCAGTAGCTAGACTGTCCTGATGAACTTTTAAATGGATGCAGTATAATGCAGCTGTCTGCAGTTTCTCAGTGCCTTTCATAGAGCTTTCAAATGCATTTCTTATACTGTGGTTTGTATTAACTTGGCAAAATAAATCACTTGTTCGTAAGTGGAAACGTCCAAATGTGGTCACTTTAGTTCCTCAGAGAGTGTGTTGGATGCACATGCTAAGATAGCCCTTCACCACTAGGTAGATGGCAACAAAAGTAAAAGTAGAAACTCTACAGGGGGTGGGGGGAGACTCCCTGAGGGTTAGGAACCCTCCTGTACCCGCAGGACACCATAGTCTCAAGCAGAGTTAAAGGCACTCTAGTGACCCTGTCACGGGACATAGGGGCCAGCATGTGGGAGGGGGGAGGTAGTCATCAGGCCCCAGGCAGAGGTCAGGGAGAGGGGCTTTCCTTTCCTTCATTTGGACAACAGGTACCCCCAAATTGAATGAGTTCCAGGCCCTTTGCAGAGCCTCCCAGATCTGCTGCTGCTGGCAGATACCACAGCCACAAATAACAATGAATGAGGTCTCCATCCTAGACCCTATATAATCCCTAGGAGTCCAGGTCAGGCTCCACCTCTTTCCTGGCCTACCCACCCCCAGCTGCCAGTGGGGCAGTGTGGCGACCTTAGATATCTCCACATGTACCTTACCCAGTTTCTGATTTCCTCCACTGGCCCAATGCTCCCCACCTACATACTTACGCAGGACTTCATATCACCAGTGCTACCTTTTATCCATAGGGCTGCACTCCTTACCCTCATCGTCACCCCCATGAACACCTGACTTAGGACTTCCGAGCGGGTGAAATGGCAGATGTCTTACTGCATTTCACTTACTCACCCATTCTGAGTCCCACCCAGGCCTTGCACCAGACTCTGGATCATTCAGGAGGAAAAGCACAGTTTGGGCTGTCTCAGACCTGAGTGTGTGTGTATGAATGTGTGTATATGTGTGTGTATCCATGTGGGGGAAGAGGAACAATTAACAGTGGGCACAGGAGACAGTTAAATTCTGTAACTCAACAAATAGAAGAGCTGGGGTAGGGGCAGCCCAGATGGTATGGGATAGTTTATGGTTGCAGAGCTGGAGCTAAAGGGGAAAGGAAGAGGGACATGTGCCACATAAGGCAGGCAGGTCATACTGGGTGGGACCTGGGACCTGGGACCTGGCAAGCCTGGAGACCTAGTTTGTGGACTGAAGTCTTCAGCAAGGCTGGGGTAGGTCCAGGGTGGGCTGGGGAACCCAAGGTCACTTTCACAAGAGCAGAGGGAGGCACCACACAACTGGTTTCTTCACCCAGAGTTAGTTTCACTGTACTCATTTGCCCTTGGGGGTTGACTTGCAGACATTTTTATAGTCTGGATAGTCTTTGGTAAATTATAAACATTTCAATGTTTTCTCTCCACTTGTGGCTTGTCTTTTCACTTAGATATTTTTATCATAAAGGTTTGAAAATTTAGCACACCAATTTTTTTCTTGTGCATTATGGTTTATGTACTTTGTGTCTTCGTAACTGTCTGACATGGCTTTTGACAAACCCCAGGCTGTTTGATGCCACTGTCACCCCACAAGCTTTCTCAGTCCTCACTAACCTCTTTATGTTTTAGATGTCTTCTCATAAACAACTGTTGCAGTATTTTTAACCCATTTTTTTGCATTCTGATTGGCAGTTTGAGCATATTTCTTTTTATTGCTTTCAATCACGTATGTTCTGTTCTCTCTGACCCTCTCTTGAATCCCCTGCACTCTTCCTTCCTTCTCCTTTGACTTGTTTCTTTAGTGGTTATTCTTAACATGCTCATTAATAATGTCTAAACTGGAGCTAAGCAAGATCTCCACGCTCCTGGAACAAGTCCCAAATTGCAGCCTCATCAGTGCCCCCACCTTCATTCCCGAGCTGCTTCTGTTGAGGTTGAGGAGGGCACAAAACACCTCTGTCGGGTTGCTCTGCTAATGGCTGAGCCTTAGAACTAGCCTCCAGGCTGAAGCGGGGGGAGTAACCCCAAGTGAAGTGGGGAATCTAAGCTCTGTGCGTTTATGACTTTTCCCTACTCCAGGGCCCAGAAGAGCCAAGTGGGCCTCCTGGTCATCCCCAAGAACTAGAAGCTATTTGTTGTCATTTTGGGGCACACCCTTTCATTGAGGATCCTCCCCTCAACTAAGCATTTGGCTTCATACAGGAGTCTCCAACTGCTCTCTACCTACTGGGAGCCTGAGACCCCCCCCTTACACTGGGTGGGTGCAAGAACCCAAGCCCTGGGCTAAAGGCCTCTCACCTCCCCACCCACCTGCCAGCTTCAGAGCAGCACAGCCTCTACTCATTGCTCCACTGTCTCTTCCTCCCTTGCCTTGGCCCTGGTCAGTCCCCTGCTTGCTTATGAACCCACCTGTGAATTTTAAAGAGTACTTGCTATATTCACCCATTATTCCTAAACAGGAATATAGGATGCTCTTCTATTATATCGTCTGCCAAAAACAGAAGTCAAGACTTTTAATCCATTATTTTTAGTTGTAAGGAAAAATAACTTAAATCCTTCAGTGAAGCACCCATCTCTAACCAGTATGGTTAAGTGAGGAAGCTGTTGGGGAGTCCAATGTACAAACTCTCTGTCAGCCTTCACAGTACAGCCTGGAAATATTAAATGCTGCTACATTTTGAAGGAACAGTGCTAAAGCTTTGATCATTTTTAGCAATTTTTCATTAGTTTCAAGACGTCTATAGTTAACTTCAAACATAATGTTAAATTTGTCATTACTCAACTTGTTGCTGTACTTTCAGAAGTTACTAAAGATAAAATCATAAAGTGAGGAGTCAGTTGTCAGAGCTTATCAGCCTGTGGGCAGGTTGTGGTTGGTATTAGGGAGCACCCTCCTTCAACAGCTCCCTTCCCTGCCAAATCTAGACACTTCATTTCGTACTGTCTTGGCTGATCTGAAGAAGGACTGCACAGTTTAGCAGTTGGTAACAGTGGAAAATTTCCTTTTCAGCTGGTGTATTAAGGCAAGCCCCATCACAAAAAACCCTGAAATCTTGGTGGCTCAGCATATGCTCTGCCCAATGTGGGCCTTCCCTCCATGCAGGCACCTGCCTCCTGCTCACACCTGCCCAATTCTCCCTACTCTTTGCAACTTCCTCCAGTGTCAGGTGTCTTCACCCGCCTGCTCACACCTCCAGGGATTTGCTTTCATTTCACGATGGGCCTCCAAGTCCTGACGCATTCTGTGACCACCAGACCCAGCCGGGTTGTTCCCACGAGTTTCTGTTTGTGCACCTTCAGGGACTGAGTTCATTTTTGATTCCAGAGGCAACAAAAGCAGCTCATTAAGCAACTTCTCAGGTGTCCGTGCGCGGCATTTACGGCAGGTGTGACAGTTTACAGGTCACCCACGTTGACCTTCTTTTACTGAATGCCCGCGCTGAGCATCCACCGGTTTAGGAAGACGCTGGGCTAGCGAAGGACCCAGTCCTGCCACCTTGTAGTGGCGAGGCAGCGGGAAACAAAAACACATTTAGGTCAGTAGCGGAACGTTGAGCACAAAACAGTAAAGAGCTGAAGAAAGCAGAAGGGCCGAGAGAACTGCGGGCTAGGGCGAGCACGAGGTGAGTTCTGAGAAGGGGGGGTGGGACCCAGAGGGGACAGAAGATGCCTGGGGACAACAGAGGAGAAGGGAGGGAGAGAAGGGCCAGAGGGCTCAAAGTTCTGGGCCAGGCCAGGGGCCCCAACCCAGCACAGAGGACCCCTAGCCCGTGGGCAGCGACCCCGCCCTCACGTCCCCGGTTCCGCACAGAGTCCCGGTCCACGCATCCCACTCAGCGCGAACCCACCCGCGGTCCGCCGCCCAGCCCCGCCCTTCCGGCCCTGCCGCCGGAAGCGGAATTAGCTGTTCGCGGGTCACTTCCGGCAGGGTTCCCGGAGGCGGAGGCGGCCGCGGCGCGGCCAGTGAAGTGAGTTGGGGCTGACAGCCGTGAGTTCCGGGTGGAGGTCGCCGGCCCCGCCCCCTCTCGTGCGTCCCCGGGGTCGGGGGGCGACGGGCCTCGGTGCAAGTGCCCACGTGGTGGTCATCCCCCGCAGCGGGGTCCGCCTCAGCAAGCGTCACCTCCTGGTGGGGCTCCTCCCTCGGGGGACGGCCCCCTCGGTGGGGAGGTCACCTCCCGGCAGGGTGACCCCCTTGGTGGGGCGTCACTTCTCGGTGGGGTGTCCCCTCCCGTGGGATGTCCCCCTCCGTGAGGACGGCTCAGGCGGCTTGAGAGGAAGGCCCAGCAAAGCCAGGGCAGAGATTAGACCCCGGGGCTGTTTCTGGCCTCAGAGGCCCCTGGGCCCCGTGGCAAAGTCTGTCATTCTCAGGCAGCCATTGGAACTGTGCTTCTAGGTGGACAAACCTGCGTCATTTCGTACCTTCCCATTGTCTTTTTCCGTTATGATTGGCGTCTCCCTTTCCAGTGCTTGGCCAACCCCTGTTGTCCTCCATCCAGAAAAGGTGGTCCCAGAGGGACCTACCGTGAGACAGGTAGAGTGACCTTACTATGTGCCCAGAGCAGTGGTGGGCTGTCCACTTCCTGAGGTTGATACCCAGCGCTGTGGTTAGAATCAAACAGATTTTAATGTCAGTGGAAATGCCAAGGGTAACATGTCAAAGCAAAGCAAGAAGACAAAAGCATGCAACTACAAATTCATGTATGCCATGGAATTTCAGCTTAAAAAGAAAAGAAAAAAAAGAGAAGAAAGAAGAAACAAGCCCTGTTAGAAGTGGTGGTGTGTCATCTTTCTATTTTTCTGTCCTCAGATTTTCTGTTGGTGTACATAATTTCATAATCACAGAAAATAGAGGAAAGTGGAAAATAGTGGTTGCAGTGTTGTTTCATTTGAAAGAGAACTGGAAAGAGAAGTCATGCACAGACTGGGAGGTATTATTTACTAAAAATCCACCATGGACTTCAGTGTTTTGAATGTGAGAATGGTGGGGGAAAAATTCCAGAAGGTGGGTTGCTAAAGTCAAAGGGAATAAACGTTGAGTCCCCTCACTTGCCAGATGCTCAGCAAATCACCCTTTTGGCTCCCCAGTTAGTATGGTGATGGGCCTAGGATTGAAAGCAGGTTCATCTGGAGTCTGAACATCTGTGCTCTCTACACTGGACCTGCACAACATGTACCTTTGTTTTTAGGGCTGTTAAAAAAAATAGGAAATGGAATCTTGGATACCCAACACAGTAGTGATTTTTGAAGGGAATCAAAGAATTTGTATGCTAGGGAGGTGAGAAATGGGTGTGCATGTGTCCCTGTCATCACAGATAAGGGTTTCACAGGTAAGTTAGCCCTGACCAGGGAAGAGAATTGTCAAAGAGATGCCATGTGTCACAGTCTGGGGTCCACAGATAGACAGTCTCCATATGTTCCTATCTCATATTTGTGAGATGCCCCTGCTTGTCCCTTGAGGTAGAACTTGCCTTTCATGAGTTTTGATGGTTTATGTTCTTGTTAAGGAGTTTGTAATTGGATTTCAGCTTTCCTTCAGGTGTACTAGGTTAAACATTGTCAAAATTCTCCTATAGCTCCATGGTGGTCAGTTGACCGTTGGGAGGTAAATTTGGTGCCAGCACTTCTACCTTTCTAATCCATCTTCCCCTCATGTACACAGGTACTTGTGGTGTGACACATGCAGAGATTCTGCCTGCTTATTGACCATGAAGGAAACAGACCGGGAGGCTGTTGCAACGGCAGTCCAAAGGGTTGCTGGGATGCTTCAGCGTCCAGACCAGCTAGACAAAGTGGAGCAGTACCGCAGAAGGGAGGCTCGGAAGAAGGCCTCTGTGGAAGCCAGACTAAAGGTAGGGGACCAGAGAGATCCTGTCACCTGCCTCACTCTCAGACAGGACAGAGCCATTTGTCTTGAGTTTCTGGTTCCTGCTTGAAGTCATCATGGTGATTTCAATTAATTAGACTTTGTGGTGATGTGGGAAGAGGTGTAGGTGGACTTTGCTTAGCCATTCTTTCCAACAATATATTGCCAAGTAGTATATTTACAGAGAAGACTGTGGGAATATTGTAAACACCATAGGAACAACTGTTTTAAGCACCTGAAAGAGCTCAGGTAACTTTTTAGACAATACCTGGAGAATGACAAGTGCTATTTATTTAAACCTTTTCTGCAGAGCATTGTGAAAGAGTATTCTTTCTAAATCATTTTAGCACATTTGATAGTAGGCTGACCATGCACCAGCATTCTGTGGAGGAGAGTTAGGCATGTTTATGAAGAATGTGTGAGTGAGCTGGCATGTTGGACCTCACTTGTACTCCCAGCACTCAGGAGGCTGAAGTGGGAAGATCGCTTGAACCCAAAAATTTAAAGCCAGCCTCAGCAACACAGTGAGACTCATTAAAAAGTGGGGTGGGGGTCGACGGGGTAGGGGGGCTTGTGCTGGGGATGAGGCTTAGCGGTAGAGCACTTGCCTAGCATGCATGAGACCTCGGTTCGATCCCCAGCACCACAGGAAACAGAGTATGTAGGAGTACGATAGGGAAGAATGTTGTTCTTCAAGGTACTTTATAATTTGGTGGGCTCTCAGCTGATATGAAGAGGTGAAGTTTTGCTAAAATACATTCAGTATAATTATTAGATGCTAAAACCTTGCTGTAGTTGACGTATAACAGAATGTTTTTTGGGGATTTTAGAGACTGCCTTTGAGGAAAGTCTAGTCTCACACTGACAGGGTAATGAGTTCTGCCTGCTTGAGAACCATGTAAGTGCCCAGGGAACAGCAGGCTTGACGAGGCAAGATAAGAATTCAGCTGGTTCAGCAAAGCATCCAGATACTCTTCTTCCCTAATTTGAGGTGGCAGTTTCATATTCATTTAAAAAATATTTTGAATCTACTGCATTTTTTTAGTGTGATTTTTATATGTTTTAGAAACTTGTAGAATTAACTAATGCTTATCAGTAGTGACTTAGAAATATTGAGTGGTTGTTATCATAGTTAAATATTTCTAAATATAACTCAGGATCCTGGGTGACAGTTGTTCCTGGGTCTGGATGGTGCTACCTGGTTTTTCCTCTCTTCCCATCCACCTGCTGATATTCTTTCACACCCTTGTCCTGTGTAGCTCTCTGGCTGGCATTTCAGCTGGTCCATGGAGTGGATCTGAATCTCAGATGTGCTGGTCAGTGCAGGTTAGCCACTGACCTCCAGCCAAGTCTGGAGCCCCCTATCCCTGAGCTGATTAATTACTGACAGGTTTCTCTACCTAGATAAAGCCTGCTAGGAACCTGAGGGATGCCTAGGGAGAATGAGGGTGATATTCTTCTGAAGATACTATTTAAGGTGGCCACAGGCCCCTCGTGTGCCCATGGTGGCATCCTGTATTACCAGGCCATAAGGCTGGATGATAAGGTTTTCTCATTGAAACTTCAGAATGACTCATCATTCTGTTCCCAGGCAACAGTGAGAAAAGGAAAAGTTACCATTTGAGTCAACTAAATCTTGTTAATTTTATTCTTTTTTCTGGTATTCACTTCCTGCTCCTCAAATGGTTCTATCTGAACTTGGTCCTACTGGGAAAGGTTTGTTCCTCAGGAACAAACAGAGACATGTGGCTGTCTCTGGCTCTGCTTACCTGCATTTCTCCCTTAGGCCGCAATCCAGTCACAGCTGGATGGGGTGCGCACAGGCCTGAGCCAGCTTCACAACGCACTGAATGATGTCAAGGACATCCAGCAGTCACTGGCCAATGTCAGCAAGGACTGGAGGCAGAGCATCAACACTATTGAGAGTCTCAAGGATGTCAAAGATGCAGTGGTACAGCACAGCCAACTGGCTGCTGCTGTGGAAAACCTCAAGAACATATTCTCAGGTAATCAGCAGACAGCAAGGGTTGGGGGCTTTGTGGCTTACTGGAACACTCATGATGGTACATTCCCATGTGCACACCTATTTTTCCCTCTAAACCTGACGAGCCATGTAGGCAGTGGAAAGGCAGGCCCAGTTCTTAGGCCTATCCTCCAGTGGATGATTAGCTTGATTCCTGCCTGGTCAGTTAGCATCTCTATTTGAGGATGGAAGAAATAATCAGTCAAGCCAATGAGAGTTAGTGGAAAGCACACAGTTCTGAGTGGGCAGAGCACAGAAGTGGACAGTGGAACCAGCACTGTTGGAAAAGGTGGCTCTGGATGAGTGGCTGGGAGTCTCCTTGTACACAAGAACAAAGAGACAGCAGCACATGCTACAGGGGCCGTGGCTTGGGAGAGCAACCTTCGATATGAGGGGCTGCTGCTGAGGCAGAAGGGCTAGGACAGCAGCAGTTCCCAGACTGGGTGAAGCAAGCATACAGGCCAGGAAGCAGATGGAGCAGAAGCCAGGTGGGCAGGGTAGGGCAAGAGTCTCGTTCCAGTGTGACTGGAATGGACCTGTGGGGAGAAAGTGGAGGACTGGCTCTGTAAGCTGTCTTCCCGATACCTGAGTTAGTGAATGCAGAATGCTCCACAGCCCAACCCTGAACGGCGTCAGCTTTCGCTTGGCTTGCTGTGCTCGTAGTGCTCCCTCCTCTTCTGTGCCTAGAAAAGTTTGAGAAAGTTTGGTGCTAGTTCTCTAAATGTTTGGTGAATCACCAGTGACATCACTAGGTATAGGGGTTTTCTTTGTAGGGAGATTTTTTCTTTTTGGTGGTGGTGGTGGTGGTGGTGATAGTACTGAAGTTTGAACTCAGAGCCTTGTGCTTGCCAGGCAGGTGGTCTGCTGCTGAACTTTGCCTCTAGCCCTTGTAGGGAGATTTCTGGCTACTGATTCAGATTTTCTACTTCGTGGTTTAGTCCAGTAGGTTTTGTGTTTCTAGGAATTTGTTTTGTCTAGGTTACCCAGTTTGTTGGTGTCCAGTCTTTCATCATGCTCTCTTACAATCCTTTTCATTTCTGAAGAATCAGTAGTTGTGCCCCTACTTTCTGATTTTGTTAATTAGAATCTCTTTTCTTCTTAGTCCATTTAAGCTAAAGATTTGCCAATTTCATTGATCTTTGTAAAGAACCAACTTCTTAATTAATTTTTCTCAGTTGTTTTTGTATTTGTTTTGTTTACCTCTGCTCTAAATCTTTTATTTCCTTTTATGGGCTTTGGGTTTAGTTTATTTTTTTAGCTCCTTTATTATTTATCTTTATTCTCATTTTTTGGTAGGACTAGGATTTGAACTCAGGTCTTCACACTTGCTAGGCAGGCACTCTACCACTTGAGCCACTCTACCAGTTGGGTTTTTCTGAGATAGGGTCTTGCCAACTGTTTGCTAGGGCTGGCTTCAAACCGAGATCCTCCTAATTGCTGCCTCCCAAATAGCTAGAATTACAGGCATGAGCCACTGGCACCCAGCCAAAGTCTTTCTTTTTAATGGAAGCATTTTCATATGCACACTCTCCATTTTAGCATGGCTCTTGCTGTTCCCATAAGTTTTGGTATGTTGGGGTTTTATTTCCTTTTTTCTCTAAATACTTTTAGATTTTCCTTATGATTCTTTTTTGCCCTGTTTATTAAAAGCATTGTTTAATTTCCACAAATGTTTAAATTTTTGATTTTTCCTTAAATTTGTCTGTTTTGTTTGAAAAAGATACTTTGCCATGTCTTTTTTAAATCTTCTGAGACTCAATTTTTGACCTTTATACAATCTGTCTGAAGACTGTCCCTGTGTACTTGAGAAGAATGTGTGCACCATTCCGTTGCTGCTTGTATCTTTATGTGTCTGTGCAGACCTAGTTGTTCATTGTATTGTACAGATTCTGTTTCCTTCTGCTTGTTCTGTGCATTACTGAGAAGAGATACTGACGTCTCCAGCTACCATTACAGAAGTATCTGCTTCTCCTTTCACTTCTGTCACTTTTCACTTCCTACATCCTGATGGTCTATTAGTAAATGCAGAAGTGTCAGTAATTATTATTAGCATATAATTATTCCATCTTTCTGGACAGAACCTTCTATTAACATTTAATGGCCTTTTTCTCTTCTTAGCTTTTTGGCTTAGTCTGTTTTGTCAGGTGTTAGTGTGGCCCTTGCTCTCTTTTGTTTACTCTGGGCGGAGAGCATCTTTTTTCCACCTGTTTACTTTTAGCCTATTTGTGTCTTTGACTCTGAGGTGAGTCTCTTGTAGACACATATAGTTGAGCCATATGTATATGTGTGTATACATATATATGTACATACACACATACATGCACATCTATGTTTTGTTGGGACTGGGGTTTGAACTCAGGGATTCATGTTTAAGCCACTCTACCACTTGAAGCACACCTCCAGTCCATTTTACTGTGGTTATTTTGGAGATGGGGGTCTCACCAACTATTTGCCTCTGCTGACCTCAAACTGATCCTCCGGATTTCAGCTTCCCAACTAGCTAGGATTACGGTGTGAGGCACCAGTGCCCAGCTGACTCATATTTTTGAAAATCCGTTCTGCTATATCTTTCTGTTGGAGAGTTTAATCTGATTACATTTAAAGTGATTACTAATAAGGAGAATTTTCTGTTGTTTTGCTGTTTTCTGTATGCCATATAATTTTGTTTCTTCCTGCATTACAGTTTTTGTGGGTTTTTTTTTTTTTTTTTTTTAGTGAAACATTTATTTTAATTCCCTCCTTATTTCTTTTGTGTGTAATCTATAGCTATTTTCTTTGTGGTTGCCATGGAGATTATATTTAACATTGGAATATCATCTCACTACAGTTTGAAATTTTATCAGCTTAACTCCAACAATATATAAAAACTCTGTTTCTGTACACTCCATCTCCAACCCCTTTTGGTTACATATTTATACATTCTGTTTGTTCAAAAATAAAGACCAGTTTGGTTTTTTTGTTTTTTTACTGCATTAGTTTTTTAAATTATATAGAAAACAAGAAGCTGGATAAAAAGCTGAAGTTATATCATGCTATATTTTATAGTTGCTCTTGCATTTACCTTTGTTGAGATCTTTATTTCTTTGTGTGGGTTCTAGTTGATGACTCTTACCTTCACTAGGCACTGTCTAGTGTCTTCATTTCCCCCCGCAGGGCTCCCTCCAGAGTTTTCTGAAAGGCAAGTCTAGTGGTAAGAAACTCAGCTTTTGCTTTTCTAAGACATTAAGAATGTTTTAATTTCTCTCTCTTTTGTTGACAGTTTTTCTGAATATAAGATTCTTAGTTGACAGTGTTTTCTCTTAGCATCTTGAACCCATCTGCTTCTGGCCTCCAAAGAGGCCTCCAAAGCTTCTGATGAGAAATGTGCGAGTTATATTCCTTAAGAGCTTTGTATTTAACAAGTCACTTCTCTTGCTGCTTTCAAAATTCCCTGTCTGTATTTTCAGAAGTTTGATTACACTGTGCCATGACATGGGCCTCTGTTTACTCCTGCTGGGAGGTCATTGAACTTCTGGGATGTTTATATTCATGTTTTTCACAAAACTTGACAAGTTTCTAGCTATGATTTCTTCAAAACGTCTCTGCCCCATTCTCTTCCCTGGAGTGCTCACAGTATATGTGCTGGTCCATTGTGTGGGCCTATTAGGGTACGTGGGTGCTGTTTACTTTCTTCAATCATTTTTTCTTTCTGTTCCTCACACCTAATTAGTGCCCTTGCCCCCATGTCACATTCACCAGTTCTTTCTCTTGCCTGCTTACATTTGCCCTGAACCCATCTAGTGTATTTTTTTATTTCAGGTATACTTTCAGCTCCAGAGTTTCTTTTTGGTTTCTTTTTAGGTTTTCTGTCTCTTTATTGGTATTTCCATTTTGTTCATACATTTTCTTTACTTTCTCCACATCTCAACTTTAGTTAGTTTAAACAGTTTTCAAGTCTTTTCCTTATAGACTTGCCATTAGGTCTTTCAGGGACAGTTTCTGTTGATTTACTTTTTCCTTTGAATGGAGCATATATTCTTCTTTTTAGTGTATGTGGGAGTTTTTGTTGTTAAAAAAATGAACATTTGGATCTAGTAATGTGGTAACCCTGGAAGTCAGATTCACCCCCTTCCCCAGGTCATGCTGATTTTGGGGATTATTGTAAACTATCTCTGTGCTAGGATCAGTCTGAGGTGTGAATGTAGGATCTTCTCAGGTCTTTTCTGAATGAGCTTTTGCTTCTACCTGGGCATTCATTGTGACTTTTTGACATGCCCTATATGTGCAGTTGCTTTTGAATGTCCTTCTTAAGTGTCTGGCTTCCAAAAGAGGATAAAGAAAAATAAGTGGTGGGAGAAAGGTTCCAGCCCTCTTCATCTCCTGGAATTCACTGGAACAACACCCCACTGCACCTGTGTAGTCAGAAGCAGCCATTAGTAGTCAGAGCACGGATCCCCATACTTGAAGGGTGGGGTTCTTTTTAAAGCCCACCCCAACTCCTGAGAGTGGACACATGCTGCTCTGGGAACCCGTACATGGCTGCCTGCCCTGGACTGGAGTGGGGATGGGGAGAAGCTACTGTGCAGAAGGCTAAAATTGACCACAGTTAACCCAGTTTTCACACAGGCCTTCCCCTGGGAGCTGCCAGCCTTTTTATAGACTCCAGAGTTCAGAATAGTTAGATAGGCTCCACCAGGTACCTTCTGCCTACCTGCCATCATCCCTGAATCCATATGCAACCATCAAGTGTTTTCACAGTGTCACTTCTGCCTTTTCCTAGTGCCCGAGATTGTGAGGGAAACCCAAGACCTGATCGAGCAGGGGGCCCTCCTGCAAGCTCATCGGAAGCTGATGGACCTAGAGTGCTCTCGGGACGGCCTAATGTGTGAGCAGTACCGCATGGACAGTGGAAACACACGGGACATGACTCTTATCCATGGCTACTTTGGCAGCACACAGGGGCTCTCTGATGAGCTGGCTAAGCAGTTATGGATGGTGCTACAGAGGTCGCTGGTCACAGTCCGTCGGGACCCCACCTTGCTGGTCTCCGTGGTCAGGATCATTGAAAGGGAAGAAAAAATTGACAGGCGGATACTTGACCGTAAAAAGCAAACTGGGTTTGTTCCTCCTGGGAGGCCCAAAAATTGGAAGGAGAAAATGTTTGCCATCTTGGACAGAACTGTGACAACTAGAATTGAGGGCACACAGGCAGACACCAGGGAATCCGACAAGATGTGGCTGGTGCGCCACCTGGAAATCATTAGGAAGTATGTCCTAGATGACCTCATTGTCGCCAAGAACCTGATGGTGCAGTGCTTCCCTCCCCATTATGAGATCTTTAAGAACCTCCTGAGCATGTACCACCAAGCACTGAGCACGCGGATGCAGGATCTTGCATCAGAGGACCTTGAGGCCAATGAGATTGTGAGCCTCTTGACATGGGTCTTAAACACCTACACCAGGTAGAGCTTCCTTCAAACTTTACATGTTATTCTACCTACAGCCCTCTGTAAAAGTATGCTGACAGTCTCCTGAGTTATGTTGCTCTGAGTAGACACTTATTACCCAAGGCTTTGTTTTCTGGGTTGTGAAGGTCTTTCTCCTTCACCTGTCAGGGACTTATCTTTGAGATTGGGCTTGGTCTCTGGTGTGGGTCCAGCCATGTTTGAGTGGTACCTCTGCTCTCTGCATCAAATATCTTTGTGTGTACTTTGGTGTTAGGCTGTTTTCTGTGTTGGTTGTGTGTGTTCTTGCTTCCTCACAGTGATGCTCTGAGGCAGGCATGGTGTTACCCCATTTTATGGATGGGAGCATGTAGCCCTAGAAGATGCCATGACCTGCAGAGTCACTGTGGTGGTGAGGATACCACCAGATTTTGTTTCTCCTAACTTGTACACTGCAGCAGTTAATCTTTCAAAAACAAACAGCTGTAAGTTAGGCATATACCCAGTAAAGTACCAGCACTTAGAAGGCTGAGGGTCCCTGCTGTGGAGAAATGAAGTAAATCTCTTTTTTTAAAGAGGTTTATTTTTTTTTTACAGTGAGGCTTATTTTTTTATTTGTGTTTTTCTAGTGGCTTATTGATAGCTGCTTATAGTAGAAACTATACACTTCAATACAGAAAGATGTAAAGAGAAAGAAAATGTCAGCCATGGATGATGGGCATTGTTTTGAAGCTTTACCATGCACAGTGCCTCTTCTGGTCCTCACCACAGCTGTGAGGTCAGAATGGTCTCACTCAGTCCTGTTCTATAGATGTTACTGTGTGTGGCCTTGACCTCATTGTGTCATATGTGAACACCCCTACAAGGCAGGAGTTATTGCAAGCATCTCTGTTTGATAGTGAGGTGCACAGGGGAGGGAGTGCCATGCTCTAGCTCTCATGGACAACAAGTGGGGAGCAGGACTCAGCAGGGCCCTGGACCTCACTCTGCTCTGTCCACTGGATTGTGGGTATGCATTGGAACCTGCACAGTTTTGTCTGTTGGTTTTGTTTCTCTGCTACCACACAGTCAGCATCTCTTGTTCTTGGGACTTCTCTTCATGGTGGTCTCCCAGACTAAACTGGAGAAGTTGAGCCATTCTTAACTCTGGAAATGCTTACATAGGGCATCCAGGTTCTTGGTGCAAAAATCACCTGTGCTTAATAAATAGTCTTTTAATTTTATTCAGAAAGATGTTTGGTGTCTTACATGTATGGACTAATATTAGTAATATTGTTCATTGTTATTCTGAGTACATATTTGAGGATGTAGCATTAAGGCATGTGACTTTTCTGTGTGATCAAGTCTCAGACTTTTAAGAACCATATACACAAATTTTAAGTGTTTCTAATGAGACCTTTTCCTGGAACCTAGCATGCATTTTCTTGTCTTCTGCACAGAAGACCAAATGTAGTCCTACTTTCCTTGCAGTGAGTTTTTGTCAACAATGTCATGTATTCTGTGCCCTAGCCTACAACCTCCTGCAGAGACTAGTGATGCCAGCTGCAGTGGCTCGTGTTTCCACATTACTTGCGCATTATCTTCTTAATTAATAAAACAGAACCATTCAGCACCTCCTGTTTGCCAGGCTCCTGTCTCAACCCTGGAGACACAGTGAGTGGGAGAGACAGTTCACCGTGTGGGCTCTTTGCTACATTTGAGCCCCAGCTCCCTATGCAGCTGGCAAGTATTGAGGTGACTTAAGTGGTTGCACTTAAGTGAGGTGATATCATGGAGGGATCTTTAGTTCCTAGACCCCTCATCCAGCATTCTCCAGGAGGCCTTCTGTCTTCTTCCCTAAGTTGCAGAATGTGGTGGTTTTAGGTCCCCAGGGCAGGGCATTTGCATATCAGATTGAATATGTAGACTCACTTGAGAATGTTCTTTCTGTGTCCTCTGTGGTTTGTCACTCATACTTGGTTTTTTCTGTAGTGCAGAGATGATGGGGAATGTGGAATTGGCCCCAGAAGTGGATGTCAGTGCCCTGGAGCCTCTGCTCTCTCAAAATGTGGTCTCTGAGCTGCTCGACACATATATGTCAACACTCACTGTGAGTAGACCTGGGTTGCAGTCCCAGAAGTTCCCGTGGTGGTTATCTGTGAGGCAGTGGGATGTCTGGCTAACCCTGCTCAGTGGCCAAGCTCTGTCTGTAGGTCTCAGTACATTCATTTGTAATTAGAGAAGGGTACCTTGCTCTGGCCTGAGGTCTGGGGCATCCATTTCACAGACAAGGGAACCTGCTGGGGGTGCCAGCCTTATGTTGTCTGTTATGCTGACAAGACTCTAATATCCAGGCCACATGTGGTACTACCTGCCAAGTTCTTAGCACTTAATCCTAGTGGAGTCAGTTGGGGTGGGGGGAAATGTGTGTGTGGGGGGTGGAAATGTGTGTGGGGGAGGGAAATTTGGGAACTGATGGCACAGTCTGAGGCCTCATAACCAGGCAGTGTCAGTAAGATGGGAGGGTCAGAGTGTGCTCAAGTGACCAGACAGCATTTTGGCCCAGTGCTGAAGGTTGCTAAGGGGTAAGGAGCCGTCTTCTGTTGGTGCCTGAGCTGACTGGGCTGCCATGTCTGATCTCAGAAAACCTGACCAGATTCTTGAACATCTGGCCTCATCCTCCAGTACAGTGTTTATCCACAAAGTCTCCTGGTTCATTCTTCTTCTTCATAGGTAGTGAGGTTTTGGTCTACATCCAGAAACTGGAGTAGTCCCAACTTGCCTCTGGATTGCTCCTGAGGTGCTCAATCTAGCAAACTCTTTGCTTGAGAACAGGGATCACAGCAATGTGCCATATCTGGTCTGTGCAGATACACGCACTGTAGGGAGAGCGTTGAGCATAACTCAGGAACCTGTTCTTCCCTTCCCTTCTCCATGATGCCAAACCTCTAGTCCAACATCATTGCCTGGCTGCGGAAGGCCCTGGAAACAGACAAGAAAGACTGGAGCAAAGAGACAGAACCAGAAGCTGACCAGGATGGCTACTACCAGACAACACTCCCTGCCATTGTATTCCAGGTGTGAGCCATAGGAGTCTCCCAGTCCCATTTCCTGGGTGGTTAGCAAGGACCCATCAGTTTCAGATACACAAAATATCTTGATCTTCAGTTACACAATGCACTAAAGATGTCAAAAACTCTTTCTCCCTCCTTCTTTTGTCTCAACTGAAAAAACTGAGACTGAGAATCCTACTTGCCAAGTAGTATTGCCCAGAGTCACTTTAAATTTTCCAAAAAGTCTTTCTGGGTTTGAACTGGAAGCTAATTACTTGTTAATCATATGTGGCACTCCTATTCTGAGTTTCCTATTGCAGTAAACAGTCAAGTTTGTCTTTGAAATGCTATATAACTGAGCTTAATTAGGAGAGTCTCATAGCATTTTAAAAGTGCATCCTTGTACACTCATCACAGTGCTAATATTAGACCCATATCCATTCTTACTGTTGGCTCACTCTTTGGTTCCTGACCCATGCTGTTTCTTTTTGTTCCCCCCTCTCATTTCTTGCTCTGTGTAGCACTACCAAAGGGAGGAACAGCATCAGGTGTTTAGCCTACAGCAGGCAGGAGAAAGGGCTGGTGGGTGTGCCTTAGTGATGGGGGATCCTCACCTCTCCTTTACTCTGGAAACTGGCATCAGACATGAGATTCATAGCTGGCCAGCCTCGGGGGCACTCTATTGCCTTGTGCTTCTCTGCCTCTTTGAGCCTAGCTCCTCCGGCTCCAGCATGTCCCATTGTGGTTCTTAGAAACCCCCTGAAGTCCCTACAAGTGGATTGGTGAGACTGCTCTGCAGAGCAGACGGGGGGCTCAGGACTTTGGCCCAGCCCAGCCCTGAAACCACATGACCTGGCATCACCAGCCTCCAGTCAGCACTCTCATCACTCCTAAACCCAGGGACACAATGAGGGTTAGGCACTTTTTCCCTCAGGAGAACCCATGTGCAGGTAGCAAGGAAACCATACACTAAGAAAGTTGTTTGTTTAACTTTCTCAAGTGCTTTCATTTTTTTCCCTAAATTTAGACTCTCAACTGCCAGATGGGGTTTTACTAATGGGGAACCTGTACAGTGGGCTCCTGTAAGATTGTCAGAATTCATAAGTTCTCCAATTTTTAGATGTTTGAACAGAATCTTCAAGTTGCTGCTCAAATAAGTGAAGATTTGAAAACAAAGGTACTGGTTTTGTGTCTTCAGCAAATGAATTCTTTCCTAAGTAGGTATGTATTTTTGCTAGTGCACTAATTTAGAAATTATGTTTTTAAAAATTAAAAGCAAAAATTTGCTGATCCTTGCCAGGCATGGTGACCATATCCATAATCCCAGCACTCAGGAGACTGAGGCAGGAGGGTTGTTGAGTTTGAGGCCCTGGGCTACATAGCAAGACCCTGTGTCAAAAACCAAAAATTGTTGATCCTAATGTGCTGTTGTTAAAAGATAACTTAAGCCTTGAGATTCCCCATAAGTCACCTTTCTTTGTTATTTACAAATGCAGAAGGGTGGAGTAGATCTTACAGTCTTGCTTTTGAATAGACCATGCATTCCTTTTGGGGTCCTCACATGCAATGTAGTTGTTAGATCACATGCATTGGGGTTGGAACAGGAAAAATAGACACTCCCTGGAGTGAGGGGCAAGCTCTGTAGGTGAGTGATCACCACTCAGTGGGGAGGGAGCCCTGGGCAGATGGAGCTCATGGGGACATATGTTTTAGCGGGCACCTCCTTCTGAATTGTTCATGATGAATATTTTCAAACCTAGACAGAAGAAAGAATGATATAAAAATCTGTGTTCTAAGCTAAAGGTGTGGCTCAAGGGGTAAGGCACTTGCCTTAACAAGCTCAAGGCCCTGAGTTCAATACTGAATACTGAAAATCAGTGTTTTCCCTCTTCCTCTCCCAGAAGCCAGCTTTTCCAAATCACCCTGTTCTGATCTCTTTTTCCCCATTCTGTGCCTTTCTCACTCTTCATTCCCTGCTTCCCTCTTTCTCTATTTGCAAGATGTTGTGGCCAATCTTACCCTATATTCTCTACTATAACTGCAATGCCATCAGCCATACATGAATGGGCCCCCTTATAGTTTGTATTGGGGATCCCAGTATCAGTCACTGAGTTAGCAGGTCTGTGTTATTGTGGTCTTTAGGGTTCTTAGGTCTCAGGGGCATGAATGCTGTCCCTTCTCCTCTTTAAGCCACTTGTCTGTACACAAAGTGGGCAGAACACCATCCTGTAGTGTCCAGGATCCTATTTTGTTCCTCATCCTGGTCCTCACACTGCCATCTGCCCTCAGACCAGAAACCATTCCAGAGGCTGGCATTGGTCCCTCTGTTTACTCACCAGCATATGTGTTCCACATTGCAGCTTAGTGGACATATATCATTCCTGCTGTAGCAGTTCAAGTGAGTTCAGGGCTCTGAGTCCGTTCAGTCCACCCTTGGAGTTACTGCCAAGATCCCTCTGTCCACCCTAGATGTCATGGACATCTAGGATGGACAGTCCCCTTGGACATCCATTCCTGATATCATGGCTGAGTCAGTCCCTTCATTTATGAGGTGTAGTCTCTGTAAACTTTCCCTGACCATCTGAACTGGTTTATATGGAGCCACACTTGACAAGAGAGGCAGAAAAAGCACCTAATTCTTACTCTTTAATTGCCCGTTTTCAGTGTACTCCTTCTCAACATCTAGAAGTACATACTGAATACTCATGGTGCTGCTCTGCTCTCATTCTTTCTTGAGACTTTCTACAGCATGTCAAAAAGTAAAGTGTGTGCCATCTCAGTTGTTTGTTTTCTTGATGTTTCACAAATCTAAGTTATTTTTAATTTGATTTCTTCATAGAGAGTTTTAGGAAAGGGACATTTTACCTAACTTAAGTTTTGGGGTGAATTTTCCTAGTTACTCACAATCACATGTTTCAGAGTTTCTTCATAATCAGAATACTGGGCCATATTTCAAAGTCTGATGTAAGATTATTTTTAACATCCACTTAAAGTAATCAACTTCTTTGTTCTTGCACTGGTATGACCTTCCAAAAGTGCATTTTATGTATGAAGATTCCTGGTCCATTGGTGGTAGTGTAAGTTTCCTGTTAGGCATGGTGTCAGCTTGGCTCTTGAGACAGCTGTAGGGCTCCATTTGCTAACACTGTCAGTGTTGCAGATACAAAGATGAAGCCCAGCTGTACAAAGAAGAGCATCTGAGGAATCGGCAGCACCCACACTGCTACGTGCAGTACATGATCGCCATCATCAATAACTGCCAGACCTTTAAGTGAGTGTGGGTGTGGGTCAGAGAGAGCGGAGAGCATGTAGCCATCTCCCTGAGCCTGAGATGTTTCCTTGCAGAGAGTCTATCGTCAGCTTGAAGAGGAAGTACTTAAAAAATGAAGTGGAGGAGGGCATGTGTCTGAGCCAGCCCAGCATGGATGGGACTCTAGATGCCATCGCGAAGGAGGGCTGCAGCAGCCTGCTGGAAGAGGTCTTCCTGGACTTGGAGGTGGGCCTGGCTCCTCTAGCTCCAGGGCTGGAGCATGAGGGTCTCATCCTGCCCTTTAGGACACACTGTCACCTACCCAGTGTGAAAGTTGCACATGAGCTGAGCTGTACCCACACGCCTGTATTAAGCTTGGATCAAAGGGTCTCTGCCTGCTTTGTATAACACAGGGCCTTTCCTAGACACACCTTGGTAGAGTGCCCAGTAAATCCTGGGCACCCAACTATGTTGCAGGTTACATGATAGGTAAAGTATGTGAAAATCTGTCACAAAGCCCAGCTGAGGGCACATGCCTCACATAGGTCAGCCTCACTTTAGGATAAAGACGACACATGCATACAAACAACATGAATTTCACTTCTACTGAAGGGGTGCATGGGTCCACTTCAGAATACAGAGATGGCTTAGCACTGTTTTGATGCATTGGCAGAAGCCAGCATATATTTTAAAAATGGCCATCATGTGGGTGATTATGATCCCTTAGTTGTTAAGAGTGAAAATGTGCTGGAAGGAGTCCAGGGCTGAAGAGGTGTGACATCTGGAGCTTTCTTAGAAGCATTTAGAATAGAAGGAGGTGTTTGCTTTTGAGATTATATTAGAATTTTAAAAAATGAATGACCTCATACAGAAAATGAAATACAGTGGTCACCAGAGGTATGCATGTTAATACTGAGTGTTGTCTGTTGCTTAGCAGATAGTGGGGATGTGATTTTTTTTTTTTTTTTTTTTTTTTTTTTTTTTGTGATGCTGAGGATCAAGCCCAGGGCCTTGTGCATGCTAGCAAGCCCCCTGCCATGGAGCAACATCCCCAGACTGTAGATATCAGAAACTGAATCCACAGATACTACTCGGTGTTGAGCCTATATTCTGTATAGAGCCAACTGCAGTTTTTGGAGGGCGGTTTCAAAATACCTATCACTGTTTTCATTTGCATACTTTTTAACTAAGGAGTACCACTGTAAGGAATATTATCTGCAAAGCACAAATCCACTGCAATATAATTTATGATTGCAAAATATGAAAAATATTTCAATGTCTATCATAGAGAATTGGGTAAACAAATTATGGAGTACCCATATAACAAATACATGTAGCCATTAAAGACAAAATGCACACATGTACAGATATTTACGGATTTAACCTGTCATTTTGTTACATCCTCACAAAGGATGGACATTATATAGACCTCCTAAATTTAAAGTACAGTTTTGTAGAGTATGTAAAAGTAGAATTTTTACCTTAGTTTATTGCTGCCAGAATCAGAAAATCTGTGACAAAAGATACAGCACCCCCTCCCAGATAGGGGTGAATCCTGGGCATTGTGCAAGGTGACAATTTCTGTGATCTCTTTGTGTTTTTCAGCAACATCTGAATGAACTCATGACAAAGAAATGGCTGTTAGGGTCAAATGCTGTGGACATCATCTGTGTCACTGTGGAAGACTATTTCAATGATTTTGCTAAAATTAAAAAGCCATATAAAAAGGTAAGCATGGGGGCTGTAGCATGCTGGAGCCTACATCCTATCTGGTTTAGAATTCAGTATAAGATTACCTCTTTTGATGTGACTGCTGTTGCCAAGGAAGGCAGGTGGTATTGATGTTCATGTGATCTAAAGGTCAGGTGGTATGTGCTTGAGTGTTCAGCTTCAATCCCTCCTGGAACCTGACTCAGCTTCCACTGATGATAGTGGGAGAGGACATGCCACAGACCTGAGACTGGAGGTAGGGGCTATCAGCACCACCGTCCCACCACAGATTCTCAGTAGTGCCAGGACCCACAGAAGAGGGAGTGAGTAGGGGATATGAGGATGGAAAGAAACAGCAGTCCTCAGACTCCCAGCAGAGGCCCAGGATTTCCTGGCTGGATGGTGCAGACTCAGTAAGAACCTGTAGTGTACTGCAAACAGAAGGAAGTATATGTCATATCTTCTGCTGCCTATTGTGTGCAGAGCCTGCCCTTCCTCCTGCCCTACTGCCTGGGGTCTGGTGGCTTGGGGCCTCCTGACTGGCCAGGTGAGCCTCCAAATCTATGTGAATTCTTTGTCCACGACTCACACATCTGTGTTGCTGCTGTTACTGACAGTGTTACCTTTTAGAACTGGGCTTTCTGCCTACTTGCTTCTGATTTATAGAAAGTGGTTTGATAGATTGATCTACATTCAGTTAGATCTGTACCATGTTCTGACTGTTCCTAGTGAGCTGTCCCTAGGTCCTTTCAGTAGGTGTTGCACCTGTGAATTGTGTGCTGTCTCCATTTCTGATCCTAACACCTTCTGTGCCTTTTCCTCACCCAATGCCTAATTTTAAAGAAAAATCAAGTACTTTAAACTGACTGCCTAATGTGGTCCTTCATGACTATCCAGAGGCCTCTGTGGAGGTTGGTGTGGGCTTTGGATCCACCCCCATCTGTGGCCAGTTGTTAGGGTCAGTGGAAGCAAAACTTTGGCCATAGTCTTCCAGAATGGCCAGTATATATTTGCAGTGGGCACAAAAACAGCTGTGTGTTCTTGCAGCTCTTGTCCTTGTCCAGAGGAGGAATTCAAACACTTCTGATGAAGCTGCTCCTGGGCTCAGATGGTGAGTCCTAGGAGACTAAGGCCTCAGGTACCTCATGGTGGGACCCACATGCCTTCAGCATCACTCCTCCCCTGTCCCTGGGCCATCTGAGACTCACAGTGATGAAGTTGGCACCTCTGGACTGTTGGCTTCTTGGAAAGGGTTTGGGCACTCATTGCCTGTGCTATGGGTGAGAGTCACTTGTACATCCATGGTCATGCCACACACAATGGAGTGCCTTCAGAAGGATGACCTCAGACAGTGGTGCATAGGGAAAGAGGCTTAGCTGCAGTCACAGCATGTGCAGGGTCCATACATCCTTCTCCTTAGCCACCAGCAGGGCCTTGAGTCCAAGCAAGAGACCAAAGCGGAAAGAGGCTGTGCAGGGCCTGGGCTAACCACCTCTAGTTCAAGGTTTCCCTTCTAGGAGGAACAGTGTAAAAATTAGGAACATAGCCAATCAGTTAGTGCATGGTACCTTTGCATGTTACTGATGAGTGGTCTCAGAGGACCTCGTCAAGAAGATCTCAGGTCCTTGGCATCCCAAACAAAGAATTGGATGGAGGCACACAGATTGCAAAGCATCAGCAAAGGTTTACTGAGAGTGAAAAGTAGGAAAGCACACTACCCAAGGAAGGGTGGGGAGCAGGCTCCCGTGAGGTGGCTTAAGAGCCACCGGTACCTCAAGAGTGCTGGTGTCTTGTTTTGAGTGGGTGTTTATACACTCCCGGGGTGATCATGGTGGGGATTTGGGTGGTACTTAGGAATGACTTTTGGTGGTTGATGGTTGATTGGTTACACATGTGAACCCACTGTTTTATAATGAGATGCAGTCCATATTCATTAGGCTATAATTAGGGGCCATTGTATGTGTACCCTAATTTGGGTATAGGAATGAAAAAGTTACTTCAAAGGAGGTGTTTTGAGGTTGTTCTGGGTGGAGCTAGACCACCTGTTCCTTGTGAGATGATCTGCAAGGGATGACCTGGTTTGGATACTTTCCATGAATTTCCTGCCTATGTACATTGGGGAGTGTGGTCACTGTAGCTTCCTCCCAGGACCATATCGCACACTAGTAAGAGACACATGACTGAACTGGCCTCTCCCTCGCTTTGTGGAGCTTGTGTGTTCTTATTCCTGTTATTCTACACAATAGTTTGTACTTGTCTGCAAATACAAACCCTTATGTCAAACAACGAATGGCTACCCTACCGTTACCTGCTGTTACCTACTTCTTTCTTTGCTTTCTGACATTTTACAAAAAGCAAGGAACCTTCATTTAAAGAAATGATACTTCAGGTTTTGGTAATTACCCTTTCTTCAATTAAGAAAGAGCCCTTCTATTCTTGTGTTCTAAGAAAACAAGTGTGAGTTTTTGGTTTGTTTTCAGCCATGATCTAGTGTTGAGTTTGTTCAATACTTTTTCTACACCCTCTAAGATAGTCATGGGGTCTTTCTTTCTCCTTTACTTGGTGAAGTATGCTTAAAGATTTTTCTGTCATTAACATTCTTTTGCATCTCTGGGATTATCCAGCTTCGTCATTGTGTTAGTTCTTCATTCTTCATTACTGTGACAGAATTCCTGTGAAAACAATTAAGGGAAGAAGGTTTATTTTGACTCACAGTAGTAAGTTCATCATGGTGGAGGGGGCATGGTGGAGCAGAGTATTCACTTCATGCCAGCCAGGAAGCAGAAGAGAATGTGTGCATTTGCTGGCTTTCTCTTTTTCCCCTCTTCCATCTGAGCTTCTAGCCTGTGAGATGGTGCCCCTCACGTTCAGGATGGTCTCCCACCCTTAGTTAATCCTCTCTGGAAATGCCCAGGGTGTGTTCCTAATCTCCTAGGCACTTCTCAGTTCAATCAAGTTTTCACAGCCAAAATTGACCATCACAGTAATGCCTTCCTAGTGCTTCACTGGATTTAGCTTTGCAGTGTTTTGTTCAGGCCTGTTTTTATACATGCACACAAGGACAGGACATGCAGTTTCCCTCCTTCTTCCAGTGGCCTCATGAGCTGATACAAGGAGGGCCACCTCTTTGACATCACCTGGGAAAGTCTTTATACGGTTGGAATTACTTTTCCCTTGGAAGTCTGGTAGAATTCCCAGAAAACACTGTGAACCAGTGTTTCCTGCATAGAGATGTTTTATTTTTTTGTTTTGGGCAGTACTAGGGTTTGAATTCAGGGCCTTGTACTTGCTAGCCAGGTACTCTATCACTTGAGCCATACCTCTAACCCTTTTTTAGAATATTTTTCACATAAGGTCTCATATTTTTGCCTGGGGCCAGCAAAAATCCTTCTACCTACAGCCTCCTGAGTAGCTGGGATGACAGGTGCATACCACCACATCTGGCTTGCTGATTGAGATGGGGTCTAGCTAACTATTTGCTTAAACTGGCCTTGGACCTCAGTCCTCCCAATCTCTGCCTTTAGTAGCTGGTATTGCAGTGATGAGCCACTAAGCCCATCCTAATGTGAAGATGTTTTAAATGTGGATTCAGTTCTCAAATGTTCTGGGACATATCCACCTATTATTTTGGGGGGTGGGGTATTACTGGGGTTTGAATTCTGGGCTTGTCACTTGTTAGGCAAAGCACTTTACCACTTGAGCCATCCCTCTAGTTCTTTCTCTTTATTCTTAGGTCAGTTTTTGTCAGCCTCACTTTTCTAGGACATGTGCATTTCATTCTTCACATTAGCCTCTGTGGCTGGTTCCATCATTTCCAATATTGATGTCCTGTTTCCTCCTCCTTTATCAGTTAATTTATAAATGCATTAGCCAGGCACCAGTGGTTCATGCCTATAATCCTACCTACTTGAGAGGCTGAGATCAGGATAATCATAATTTGAGGCCTGCAAAAAAGTTAGTGAGACCCCCATCTCAGCAGAAAAAAAACTTAGGTGTGGTGATATGCACCTGTCATCCCAGCTACTACAGAAAATGTAAAATAGGACAATCTCTGTCCAGGCCAGCCTGGATTAAAAAGTAAGACCCTATCTCTAAAGTAACCAGAGCAAAAAAGGCTGAAGGCATGGCTCAAGTGGTAGAGCACCTGTGTAGCAAGTGTGAGTCCCTGAATTCAAACCCATTACCACCAAAAACAAAAAAAAGTGCATTACAGTGTCAAGACACGGTCCACTGACTAACCATCAGCTGACTACCCCAGTAACCAGCACCCAGATTGAGATAGGCAGGGCAGCCTGTCTCCATCCAGGTTTTGGTTTCCATGACAACCATGTCCTTGGATTTTGTAGTAGAGGTTACCCATGTGTGCATCCTTAAAAGTACAGCATAGTGTTGCCTGTTTTTAAACATAGGTTGGGCTTCTCTGAGTGCTTACTCTTGCTCAAACCAACCGAGAGAGCTGTGGCTGTAGTCTCTTTTCACTGCTGTCAGTGTTGTCCTCCACACTACCACCCCATTCCTTCTGGTGCCAGGCATGTCTAGATTGTCCCAGCAAACCTCACAGCGGGGGTTGTGAGGTGCTGTGTGCAATGTTGCAGATAAATGGACCTCGCACCCATGTTGCTGAGGAGCTCCTGTTCTTCAGCCCCCTTCCCTGTAGCACCAGCACCTTGTTTGCCAGTCATCAGTGGTGTTGCGAGGCCTTTAAATGAGTTTTTAACTGGCAGTTCCCTCATCAATGGGACTGAGCACCTTTTATCTGGTTGATCATTTAGAGTCCCTATTATTAATCATTTGAAATCCCTCTTTTCTGATGTGGCATCAAGGATATTTCTAGGACATTTCTGTCCTAGGCTATTGTTTTTATCCATTTTCAGGATTTTTGTGTGTTCTAGAAAATGAGTTCCTACCTGGCTTGATGTATTGAAGGTCTCTTTTGCTCTACATTTCTCTGTGATTGGCTGAATCATGTCTTCTCAAAAAATAGCAAAGTCCTAACCCTAGTTCCTGAAAATGGAACTGTATTTGAAGACAGAGTCTCTAAAGAAGTAATGTGGCAAAATGAATCACTGGTGGTGTTATAAGAGATCAGCACACAGGCCTTCACAAAGGAATGAGTGTGTGAGGACACAGAGAAAAGACATGTCCACTGTACATGCCCAGGAGAAAGGCACCAGGAGTCAGTCCTGTGGCACTTTGCTCTCAGACTTCAGCCACTGTATGTGAGAGTGAATTTCTATAGCTGGACCCACAGCTCAGGCACTTTGTTCAGGCAGTCCAAGTGGATCAGTACAAATCTCTTAACTTTCTTCATGGTTTCCCTTGAGGAACAATACCCTTAATTTTAAAGTAGTCAAGTTTATCTTTTTTCTTAATGGTTAATCTTTTTTTTAATCTTAAGAAATTTTTCCTAACTCCAAGAGCATCAAAATTATATTGAAAGTCAGCCATAAACATAGCATTAAACAGAGTTCTCCTGTCAAGCTTATATTTTAGCAATTAATATTTTTTACTTCTAAAAATTGTAGTTGTTTATTTTCCAAACTTATATGGTCCATTTTGAATCTTTGTACTTACACATTTCTGCACCTTTTTTTCCTTTAAATATTTGTATATTTTATTAAATGGGGTCTGACAATCCTTGTCTGAAGCCTTCATGCTGGGTGATTGCTGCCCATAGTGGAGCTTTTTGTCTTTGCAGACCATCTTTGTGGCTTGTCTCCTTGTATATTTGTGCTATGAGCTCAAGAGAGGAGACTTTCCTCCAGGGAGAGCATGGGCTCTTCTGGCACAAATTAGTTCCTCTCTTAACCTCCCTCCCGCTTTGACCTGGCTCCCATGGGGTAGCAGTGCACTGCGCATTATCCACAGGTAGATTTAGCCTGTAGTACTGCCTTCTTTGCCTTTACTGGGGCTTCAAGTTACCCTCACTGGCATGATAGCATGCCCCGACCTGTGGTCTGTGTGGGGTCTCTGTTTTGCACCAGGATGGTTAGCCCACCTTACCCATGGGGAGCAGACTCCAGTGCAGAGGACACAGTTCCCGGGATGTGGTGTAGTTGCCAGCTATCACAAAGGTGGTTTCATAGTTGGGGGATGATTAGCTGAAATGTCTCCTTCAATAGGGCACCCCTGTGCCCTAGGTCACCCCTGTGGAGGAGACCTGGCCCTCCAACAAGCTGGTCTACCCATGTTGGCTCCCAGTCCTTTCTTGTAATATATCATAGGGGCTTCCTTTCCCATTTGGACTCCTTGAGCCCTCCTCTTTCCACTGACCTGAGGCCACCTGTGGGCCCTGCTATGGGGGCTCCACTGAGGTCTTACCAGGCCTGTCATCTCATGAGGCTAGAGTGAGTTCATCTGACCTCAGGTCATTCCCCCCTGGAGCCCGCATGGCTGTGAGATGAGAGGTTAAGGGATGGTAAGAGAAGACACTTGGGCCCTTGAGTGCTTTTAGAGTGAAGCGTAAGTGTGGGCCACACAGGTGGTATGTGGGCACCCTGCCTGCTCCTGTGCATTGATCTCCTGTACACCACATGCTGTTAGGAATGTCTAAAAGTTCATAGTGAAATTCAAATGTGCCTAATTGACTTAGTATGTTTACTTTAAAGTCCTGCTGACTGTGCTGATAGAATTAGGAAGACCATTCTCAGGCCTGTTCGCACATGGACTTGGGTTTGATGAGAGTGTCTATGACTGCCAGAGCAGTGAGTCTGCAGCTGACCGCATGTCTCTCCACAGACAATGATGGCTGAAGCGCACCGGCGCATCGTGGTGGAGTACCTGAGGGCTGTCATGCAAAAGCGCATCTCCTTCCGGAATGCAGATGAACGCAAGGAGGGTGCTGAGAAGATGGTCAGGGAGGCTGAGCAGCTCCGCTTCCTATTCCGGAAGCTGGCATCTGTGAGTGTCAGGGCGTGGGCTGAGAGCTCCATGTATGGTGACATCCTGTGACTTGCTTTCAGGTTCCATACCCAGGGCACTTAGGTCAGTGGATAGGATCCAGCACATCAAGACCCAGCAACAGGTTAATTCTCTTTCAGGAAGGAGGGCCTGGGTCCAGAGCCCACATGGCCTTATGGTGAGAAATGAATTTCCACAGAGGCTAACACTCTTGGGGTGTGGTACCCCAGAGGTTCCTGGCCACAGACCACAGCTTTGTGGCACAATACTTCCCTTCCATCCCTCTACCCTTATCAGTTTTGTTCCGTAAGATGTTGGTTGCCACCCAGCATACTGATTCCATGTCCTAGGTGTGACCAGGTGCTCCTCATCCCAGGCTTTCTGCCCCAGCCAGAGGCCAAGTCCCTGCAGGATATTGTCCCTTTTCCCCTGTTCAGAATGAATCATGAATCGTGTTCATGTGGAAGAGCAAGGCTCCTGGCCAGAAAAGAGATTTGGGGGTGTCAGTATCCAGTGGTCATTCTGCTCTGGGGCTATAGAGTCAGGAGCTGCCCTTAATCCTGCTGCTGTTTTCCAGGGATTTGGTGAAGATGCAGATGGACACTGTGACACGATTGTGGCGGTAGCAGAGGTTATTAAGCTCACAGACCCTTCTCTGCTGTATCTGGAAGTCTCAACTCTGGTCAGCAAGTATCCAGATATCAGGTAATGGCTGAGCATTTTTGATCACTATAGCTAGCAGGCCATTCCTGCTGTTATTAGGAAGATGAGCTGTGTGCAGCAGGGTCAGGGCAGAACAGTTGGGTGTGTGGAGGAGGGTGGCCAGGGCCATGCTGCTAAGGATGCAGCAGGGTGCCTGTGTGCAGCCTTACACTAGCACTGCCTGATGTTGTGGGGCCCAGACAAGACTCATGCATCTGCCTGGTAGCCAAGCCTCTGTACCTGAGTGGGTACATGTTGGAGGGAGTGTTCCAGCTACACAGTGGATGGTGTTGGGCAGGACAGCATGCCATAGCTTTGATGGGTGGGGAAGGTTAGGTTCCTGAGAATGGCTTGAATAGGGATCTTAGGAAACTCCAACCCATGGTGTTTGTGGGTACCTAAGGAAGGGATCTCATGTGTCACGCCAGCCAGGACATCTTCCTGCATGTGTGATCTTAGGGAATCCCCAGTGTCAGGCTGAGGAAAGAGAGAACCTGCTTCTGTAGTGCTGGCTCCAGGTCCCAGGCCCAGCCTTTGTGATCCTCAGGCATCTGCCACTTCCTCAAGGGCTGAGTGTGGCCAAGTTGTCTTGCTGCTCCTGCTCTGTTGAGGTGAGAAGAACTGGGACTCTGAGCCCTCTGGTTAGGCAGTTCTTGAAACCAAGAAAATTTTTGTTTGTTTGTTTTTAGGGTTTTGTTTTTGTTTTGGGCAGTTTGGGGGTTTGAATTCAGGGCCTCACACTTGCTAGGCAAGTTCTACCATGTGAACCACACCCCCATCCCTAAACAGTGATCTTTTTCCACCATTTTGAAGAGTTTAAAGAGAGATGTTTTAAAAAACCTTTTGCAGTTACAGGTGTAAAAAAGGCCATACAAAAATAAAAACCTGGGTTTCTCTTCTCTGAGAAGGAAGAAGTACCTTTTGTCTACAGCTGTCAGTTCCTTGCCCTGTGGGGACCAATGGAGGGTGGGAGTGGGCATGGTCTGACATGAATCTTCCCCTCCCCTCCACAGAGATGACCACATTGGTGCATTGCTGGCCGTGCGAGGGGATGCCACCCGGGACATGAAGCAGACCATCATGGAGACGCTGGAGCAGGGCCCCACGCAGGCAAGCCCCAGCTATGTGCCCATCTTTAAGGAGATCGTCGTGCCCAGTCTGAATGTGGCAAAGCTCCTCAAGTAACCTTGTCTCCTGCGTGTGCATGTCACTGTGACTTTGCGACCCACCCTCAGAAGTGCATTAAAGAGCAGTCACTTTCCAGGAGCACTGTTTGGTGTTAGTCATGGATGCCCATCTTTTCTAGTGCTAAACTGCGGGTAGGATGAGGTGCTTTGACGTGACTGCTGGAGGGTAATGATTCCACAGGTTTCCTCACCTTGTGAAAGTGCTTTGTGAGTTCTTTCCTGCTGTGAAACCTCTCTCGATTGCTTGTTGTGGTGGAAAAGTGTGTGGTAGGCATCCCTTGCTCTTCCCCACTCAGGTCTTGCTCTGCCTGGCTTGTAGGACCTCTGCCACCTAATTAAAAGGAAACAAAAGCCAGGTGACTTGTCATTCCCAGCTGACTGGTGGTGATGCAGCTATGCCCAGAAACTGAAGAAGCAGGTCAGTTCCCAACAATTGTTCAGGCATGGTTCTGCCCCTGCCTTTCTGACTGTCCCAAGAGCAACTCCTCAATTCCCTTGATGAAGAAGAAACTCACCTGCTGGACCCAGTGAGCCCCACTCAGAGCAGAACCCCCAAATGGGTTGGGTGCAAGCTAGGCCATATGTACCAGCAAGTTGAGCAATGTCATGAGTATAAATTTTGGTAAAGTCGTGTGTGAAAGTGAATGTTTGGAATTTATTCTAAGATCTTTGTATCATGCTTATGATAGAGTCCCTAAAGTCTCCTTCCCTAACTTAGTCATCCTTCTACAACATTTGCCTTCAACGGTGTCATCATTTTGCACATTAATTTTAAGCTAAGTTAATTAAGGGATTACACCCAGAATGAATGGTGATCTTGTGGATCCCCCATGCTGTCCTCAGAGAGCAGACTGCTCACATGTCCACAGAGCAACACTGATGCAGTTGTGTGAGGGAAAGGTGTGGCCTGTGTTTCCTTGCCCTAGATCTCTGTGTACACAAATGGTCATTCCCCCATCCTTGTTTCAGAGCCTCAGGGACTTCCCGAGTCAGGAGGTGGAGGGCATAGCCCATCCCATGGGCCTCACCCTGTATGACCACTCTGTGGGGACAAATGCTTTATTTTCTCTCCATCTTTGAAATGGTAAAGTTGACATTCTGCTTTTATTTCATCCTCACAAGCTATAAAGAGCTCACAAATAGGCCTTTTCTTGAAATAATGAAAACCTAAGTGAAGTTGGTACAAATTAGAGAGTTCTCTTGAGGCCTGGGAGAGATGCCCAGTGGGGTACACCTTGATAGTTAGCCATCAGCTCAGTGACTGGCACACAGCCAGTGCTCAGTGAAAGTGTACTGAGTTAATTACACCCACTAATTATTGTCCTTGCAGTAATAAAGATGTGTTCACTCTCCACTGAAGATGTCCACATGGCACTTGCTACCTATCCTTGCTGGTGTTTGTGCTAATAATAGTCACGGTCACTACAGGGCCCACTATGGCTAAGTACCTGGCTGGCCAGCTGGCCCCGGAGGTCAAGAGGACAGACATGAGAACATTCTTGAACAGCAGGTAAGCGTGATTGTGGAGGAATATTGGAAGCCAACCTGGCATCTGGTGACACACAGTCCCCTCTCTAAAGAAGAAAGGATAGCATCCTAGGCACATGTGACCCAAACCCAGGGGAGGTTGGAGAAGCAGAGCTACCTTGGCTCACCCCCTTCCTCACTGCAATGGACTGAATAAAGAGAGAGGTTGACGTCTGAACCTCAGGACTTTGAGTGGCTTTGTTTGGAAACAGAATTATTACAGATGTGACTTGTCAAGGTGAGGTGAAGTCACATGGGCGTAAGGCAGGCACCACGTGATGCTGGGGGAAGAGGGCTGTGTGGAGACAGGGTCAGGGTGGTGTATTCACAAGCCAAAGATGCCAGCAGGCACAAAAGCTAGAAGATAGCCAGAGAGGATTTCCTGCCAGCACCTGTGTCTCAGACTTTGCCTCTGGAGTGAGATAGACGTTGTAATCTGTGTCCTTGTTTTTCTCTAGTTCACTTGTTATTTATATCTGCTTTAAGAAGGCTGTGAATTTCCCTGTTAATGGTCTTATAAACAGTGTCTAGGATTCTTCTTAGATGTACAATTTTTAAATAGTAAGCATTTTAAAATTAAAATACAAATTGTGTCTTTGGGACACCCAGACCCCTCACATCTGACCAGTTGGTGGCTCCACTGTGCACACAGGCGGGCACACAACTCCCAGGTTCACCCATATCCCTGCCTACCACTGTCCTCATCTCAACCCACAGAGATCTTTCTTGACCACCAGGCACTGGACCCTGCTGATGTTGTCCACCTCTCCTAACTGCCACCCGCTTTGGTGTTTCTGGTCCCTCGTTCTCCCCTTAGGCCCAGTGGACACTGTTCCAGCCACCACTCAGTCACTGTCCAGATAGCCATAGGGTATCTCCAACTCATTCTCCCTGAGAGAGGTTTGGATAGGTGTCCTATGCACATGGGGGACTAGCTCTAGGGTGTACTGTGTCCAGTACCCAGAGTTACTTCGTAGTTGTGTGCAAGGACCTCCCAACCAGCCAGGACTGTCTCACAAGGCAGCATGTGACAACACAGCCTATGCTGATGTTAATGTTAATTAGCAATTGTGTGCCTAAAGAGACTACGTAAGTTCTCCTGGATAAGGTTTTTCACTTACAAACAAAATCTTCACCCAGAGTGCCTTGAAATGTTTTTAATAGAATTGGTCAAGCAGTTGTTGCAGGGTTTCAGTGATGGGATCCCTACACAGATGCTGCACAGCACATCTGCAGGGGATTTAAGGCACCTCATTCTGTGATTGGAATTACACAAAGTTTGGCTATGATTAAACTGACGACACAATTTTCACACTCAAAATACATTACAATTTGGTTTTGATGGGATTCTTTAAATTTCCTTTTGCAAAAGAGCAGTAATACACAGTATATCGAACACTGTAACAAAATTATTTTCAAGAAAACACAAAAGTGAGAAATAGCAATTTCCTAAATTTGTGTACTTTATAGTACCACAAAGTAGGCCAAAGTTCAGTATTAAATAAATAGATATTCTCCCTAATAAAAATCTTTACAACAGTTTTCCTAAGGAAATACATTCATGGGACTGTGCTTACATTCTGTTTACAGTAGTGACAGAACAGCAGGGTATTTGGCTATGAAACGCAGCCATGGGTCATTTGAGTACAGGAGATGGGTTTCTACAAATGGGGCTTCCTGGTTTGAACTGTGATTCCATGTAGCTGTGGCCAGCTGTGTGATTCAGAAGCCCAGAGAATATGGCCTGCCCACTGTAGAAACACCTGTACAGAGGGCCAAGGGCGTGTGTCCCCCAAGAGATTGACTACGTGGCTGCTGGCTTTGGTGTTCCTGGGTGTCCAGGGCAGGGTAACTGGGATGCTCAGCACAAGCTCAGTTTTTGCCTGCAGTGGGAACAACTCCATGTCCAGCAGACGTGGCAGGGTGTTAAGGCAGTACCCTGGCACAGGCAGGCCGGGGATGTTGGCTGCAGGGTCTCTCAGAGCACCCCTGGCGCAGCAGCCAGTCCCAGCCTCCCCAGGATAAGCTGCAGTGGGCTGCTTTAGAGCTGTCTGGTAAAATCACTGGGAGCAGCCCTGCTGTGCAGTGGCTGGACTTGCCAGAAGAAAGGCTGGCAGAGCTCAGTGATGAGCCAGTGGGTTCCAGTCAGGGAACACTGCTCTGAGGCAGAAGCAGGGGTTGTATGTTGGGCAAACCAGGAACTACCTGTCCAGCTTTTGGAACACAGCATTAACAGTCTGCTACCAGCCCTCCTGTGACTCCTCTGAGAACAGGACCAGCCACCTTATCTGATGACAGTTTAGTCTCCTGAGCAGAGAGCTGAGTGGCTTGTTTCAGGAAAGCCTCTGGGAGGGGCCTAACCTTTCAGCCCCTTTTCTGTCTCCCTCAAGTGAGTTTCAGGTGAGCTAGAAGCAAACCTCACAAGTAGACCCAGAGCAGCTGGCTGTAGTTCTGAACAAGGTCGCTGTGAGGCCCGCTGTGAGGCCCTCTCCAGCGACCCATCCAGCGTAGCCATCTGCAACCACCTCAACACTGGAGAGACAACTCAAGCCTGATACCTTCTCTATGGGGGCAGGGCAGCCCTGAGGCAGCGAAGGGCAGGCCAACGTTGGGCTAGAGGGTGGTTCCACAATTGTACCTACAGGCCACATGGCAGCGGGGACAGTCCAGAGAACCAGCTGGCAAGTGGACATGAAGGGGTCAAATAGGGCCCCAGGGGCTCACAGGTGGTCCAGAGGCTGTGCAAGAATCGATTGCCCGCCCCTCGGGGTGAGGCTGTCTGGGCGGTATCACTTAGGTAAATCTCATTTTCTCCAGTACTCAGTTGTCCCAGCAGAGATGAGAGGACCGCCACAGGCCTCTGGGACCCTCCCTGTCCCTGAGTCAGGGTAACAATGAAACAAGAGTTGTCAGCTCAGTTGCAAACGAGCAAGTGGACGCTGGGGCCCACGACGGAGCACCTGCCAGACCTCCGTGGCTGGAGACCAGGCCGCGGGCCCCAGCACCTGGGCGCCCCGAGTGCAGGCACACCTTGCAGGGAAGCGGGGTCCAGGGCTAGATCTAGGGCAGGAAGACGGGGGCGGTGGGAGGGAGTTGTCATGGGGAGACCCCACAGAGGCCATCAACCGGAAGACCCCTCCAGGGGGTCGGGGCGGTGGACGCGAAGACCCCAGGGCTGGGCCGTCGTAGACCCTGGGGGGAGGCGGTCACGGGCCAGAACGTCGCAGGCCCGCGCGGTCACAGCGGCGTTTCCTCTTGCTCCAGCGCGTGCGGCGCCAGGTCCATGGGGCCGGGCAGCGACGCGAGTTTGAGCAACGCGGGACGTCGACGGGCGCGGGGCCGCTGGAATGAGCGTCGGCTGTGCACGCGGCGCGCCGCCGCCGACCGCGCATGCGCACTGAGCGGTGCCCGGCGCTCCGGCCCCGCCCCCGGCTCGCGGGAAGACTGCGATGCCGGCCCAGCGCTCTCGGGTGGCACGGGACTGGGGGCACGCGGGCGCCGCGCGAGAAGCGTGGGAGGCTGCATGGCGGCGGGTGGTCCCAGGCGCGGAGACGAGCTTCCGGTCAGCGGCGTGTCAGAGCCGGTGTCACCTGCGGGAAGACCGGGTGTCAGCGGCTGCCAGGCCCCTCTGGCCCGCAGCCCAGACGGTCACTGGCCGCCTGCCAGAACAATTGGATGCGACTAAAGATTCCCTTCCCCTTGATTTTGCTATTCCTGAGGTGTCACCCAGGGACTTTCCCAGAAGCAGGTGCGTGACCGCGGATAGGAAGCCCTCAGGCTCATATGCAAAGAGGGTCCCCTAATCTTCCACAGAAGACCCATCAAGCCCTTTCAGCTGTACGCTGTCCCCCTAAATGGTGCGCTGATCTCCAGCCCATGTCACTGAACCCTTCTGAATGGCCCTGCAATGGACCAGCAGGCCTGGACCACTAGGAATGTTCTGTGACACTTTCAGGCCATGTCTTTGACAGCAGTCCCCTCTACAAGAGGGCATGCAGCATCACACCTACCCCCAGATATAGCTGCCCTGCCCAGGAAACCTACGGAGGCTTCCCTAGTCACAAGGTAGCACCCTGCTCCTGTAAGGGCAGTGGGATTCAGAAATGAGACCAGAAATAAGGGAAAGCCTGAGATTGAGAGGCAGAAGCAAGGAGCAGGTGGAAGGGTGGACTCCACAGGTCTTCTGTCACTGCTGCTCTTTTTCTTCTCTCAGGAGAAAGTTGTTTCTTGCATAAAGTCCCACTAAACCATGCCAGCAGCGATTGCTGGGATCCTAACAATGAGATGACAGCTGCATTAACCAGCTGGATTGACAAAGGCCTCTCTAAGTGTCCAATAGAGAGAAAAATACTTCCCTCTTCATTCCATGAAAATACTTTCATCTTCATAACCTGGACCAGACCCATCCCACCTATAAGTTTCTACCACCTGTTCCCTAAGCACCCAAAGGAACTTTGGGATGAATGAAGACCCTCTCAAAGTGTGCTTAACCCTCTTCATAACATGGGGCAACAAAAGAGCTCTTTAGGCAACTGTTGAGGCACCTCACCCTATCCTGAGCTTGGGGAGAACCCCCACCATGGTCCCTACAAGAGGTCACCAACAAAGCTGCTGAGCAGCCCTTGTGGAATTTTTCCCTGCCCCCTGTCTGTAGGTGGCTAAAAGGAAACCACTGCCTCTCTCCTGGACTTGTTACCTGGACTTGTTCCCTATCTCCTCTGTACACAGTCCCTAGCCTTGCCCACTTTTAGTTCCCTCTGGGCCTGTGAATGAAATTCAGAGATAACTATCCCATTAAGCTTGTGACCTAGCTGACAGTCTAAAAAAGTAAATTCTCATAAGATAATATGCTAATGTAAGTCAAATTCTAAAATGCCTGTGTTTTGAGACATAGCCCAGGCTGGCCTGGAACTCACTATATAATCCAGACTGGCCTCAAACTTGAGATCCTCCTGTCTCTGTCTTCCAAGTGCTGGTATTACAGATGGCACCAACACAGCAGGCCCTCAAACCCTCTCAATGGTACATCTTAGCAGGGGAAGGAGAAACTCAAATGGGTGTCCATCACCAGTCTCCTAAAATATGCAGCCAGAAAGATGACCTGGAGATGGTTCTAGAGGGGAAAGAAAGCTGCTGGAGAGTCTGGAAAACGCAGGCCCAGGAGAGAGACCTGAAGGAAACAGCTGAGGAGAGAGCAAGTATTAGGAGACAGGGAGCCAGTTACATGTGCGTGGACTCTGGGAGGACAGTGTGGGGCCGCTCCTCGGGGACATCAGCCAGCAGAAAGGAGTCCACCGACTTGTTGCTGAGGCGGAATGGCGTCAGGCGGCGGAAGTTGCTGGGAGAGTGGGGGATCTGCACGCGGGCCCTCTGGGAGGGTACCACAGTCTCCCCAGGGGACAGCCAGGGTGGCACCCTGGACAGGATGCTCGGGTCCAGGTCCTCATCCGGGGAGAACACAGGGTTGTCAATTCCTAGGAGGAAGGGCAGCGGCTGATCAGCCTCCCAGAAGCACCCACAGAGGCTGCAGGGGGTGGAAAGCACCACCTTGGGTGCTGCAGATGCCAGTGTGTCCTGAGGCCACCACCTGCAAGATCACCTGGAAGGTCAGTCCTGCACCTTTTAGCTTGCAACCCTCACTCCATGCCTTCCCTGCACATTTTCGACCTCATACACCACAGGCAGGTCCAGCAGCACGTGGAATTGCTTCCCTCCTGACACAAAGCTCCAACAGAACCATGCCTACCTGCCCTGGAGAGAGCCACCCTGGCCAAGGAAATGCTGATTCACTGCCTCCAAGACTCGGGCTAAGCTTTCCCAGGCTCCACCCCACAACCCCACATCCCCTACTTGGCCACCTGCTCCTCTCCTCACCTGCTGGAGAGTCTGAGGCTACATCCTTCGTGACGCTCGCTAGGAACTCAATACCCCCACTGGTCTCCTCGGCTTCGTAGTCGGGGGCCTCCTCATGGTCCGAAAGTTCCAAATCTGTGCAGCGAAGAACCAAAGGAAACAGGCTGAGGGTAAGGGTGACCTGGGTCCTTGTTGGCTGTTCAAGGATTGTCATCTCGGCCACCCCGACCCAGCAGCACCTGGGCAGGTGGCCAGGTGGGCGGTGCAATGGTGGAGCCATCCCTGCCATCGCCAACCATACTTGGCCTTTGTGGGGAAGGGGGCGTTGGAAAAAGGAGCTGGGACCTCCATAAGGGAAGGGTGGGGAGAGAGCGCTTCTCTGTGCCTTGGCAGCTGGGAGGTCAGGAGGGGGATGCAATGAAACCAGTCATTGTGGTCTTCTCGCCCAGGGGACCCACAGAGCGTCAGCGTCAGCGGGGTCAGAGTCCCCGGGGACAGCCCCAGGCATTCGTCCCTCCCGTGACAGGCACGCGCAGTGGCGCATGCCATACCTTTCTCCTTGATGAAGTTGTGCGCCGGATTCGGGTTCTCCACCGGCAGCTTCCCGTTGGGGATGCTGCTGTTCCTCTGCGGACAAGCGCGGGCACTTACAGACAAGCCCATGTCCAGGCCCCGAGAGACCCCGCCCGGGTAAGGGGGCCTGGCAGCCTGCGGCGGGAGCGCTGGCCCTTTGTGCCAGTAGCGCTCCATGACCCCGCCCCACGACCCTGACCGCCCCCTTCCCGGGACCTCTGCGCCCGCCCGGCCCTCACCCGCTTCTGCGCCCGCTCCCTCTTGTACAGCTTGGCCGCCTTCTTGCTCTGGTTGATGCCCAGCTTGGCCGACTTGAAGGACTCCAGCCGCTTCCGCATAGTCCTGTGGAAGATCTCCTTGTCCTGCTTCTCGTCCTCGTTCGGCGTCAGCTCGTGCCGACTGTAGAGATGCTTGTACTGCGGTGGCAGCCGTGGCCATTAGGCTGCGCGGGCCAGGCCACGGGTCACCCTAACCTCCCGCCCACTCCGGAGCACGGTGCGGGGCTGCGCCAGCGGCTGGGACGGGAGAGAGTGGGCAAGCCCCACTCCCATAGGCAGGGAAGGCTCTGGGTGGACCTCCACCCCCTACAACAGGGCGGGGCTCTACATGGACCCCACCCACATCGCCCGGGCAGAGCTCTGACCCACCACCCTAGCCACACCCACCTCCTGCCGTGGCTTGTACAGGTACTGCTGCAGCGTGTGGTGGGTGACCACGTCCTCGGTGTCGCGGATGCTCTTCCTCCTCTGCTCCAGGGACTGCATGTCCAGGCACACCGCGCTGACATTCTCCCTCCTGGGCAGAAACAACAAGCCCAGGGGCTTCGAAAGAGCAGCCACGCGGGGTCTCCTCCCAGCCCTTCACCCTGCTGCGGGGCTGGCCGGCTTCTCCCCACCCTCCTCAAGGCTTTGAGAGCCTTGACTCCCACTGGGCCTTGCAGCCTTTTAGTTAAGGTTGACCCACCCACACCTCCAAAGCCCAGCTGTGAGCCCCAGCGTGGTACTGGCCATAAGTTGCCCAGAGCCAGCAGGTGTCATAGTGTGCTGCCTGCCCCCTCCTGTCCTCCTTCACTCCCTCCCTTGGGTCCTGCCTCAGTACCACAGGAACATAACCCCCGGCTGCCTAGTGAAGCTGGCTTCTACAGGGGAGAACCAGGTTCCTTTCTGTACCCCTCCCCCACCCTGGGCCTCTTGCTCATGTGTGACTCTCCATTGCCAGAGGGCCTGGGGGAAGAGCTGGTCAGTGATGGATGACTCCTGCTCAGAAAGACCCCTGCCCATTAATAAGTCCCAAGGTTATGACAGAGGTGCTAGTGAGAGGTGTCCTCTTCCACAGGGAAGTTCACCCTTGGAGACACGTACAGCAGGTAGGAGACAGAAGCCTCCACTGTGGATGGGCGTGGCGTGCTGAAGTCCACGTTGACCATGTTGTCTGTGCTTGGGGAGCGGATGAAAGCCAGGGACCCACGGCGCTCTCCCTGTGAGGAGGACATACCCTCATTAGCACAGAGTGGACCCTAAGACAACACCTGCCCACATAGAAGACAGAGAGGGTCCTGATAACCATGTTTGGGGGTCCTGTAGGTTGTGGGAGGCAGAGACAGAGCCCAGGGAAGGCCAGCCCACCCAGAGCCCCCAAGCTATGTCCAGGGACATCTCAATTCTGTGAAGGCAAAGATAGACCAGGAGCTATGGTTAACTCAGTGCCCAGGCCAAAGTTGCGCTTGAGGGAAGCACAGCTAAGGGTTGGGCAAAGACAAAACCATGGGCAGAGGAGACAGAACCTCTTGGAGGGCAGTGGAGAGCTAGGAAACACCACTCAGACTTGCAGATTAGGTAGGTGACTCCTGTCCTTCCTGGGGCCTCCAACCTACAGCCAGTCCAGAACCATCTCTGAGGTCAAAACAACCCAGAACATGGCCTGACAGGGAGTGGAAGCCATCAGAGGTCGGAGCACCCATCCCTTGGCCAAGACTGGGTCAGGAGTTTGTGGGAAGGAGCACCATGGCCTGTGCTTCTTCCAGGCTCATGGACACATGTACATGTGCACTTATACATGTACACATATGTGCGTGCATGCATATATACACATACATATGCACACGTGTATGTATGTGTAGACATGTGCATAGACAAACAAGCATGTGTGCGTGCATATGCACACACGCACCTGTGCACACAGGTCTCCAGGGTCCCCAGGGGAGGGAGAGTGACAGATGGTCAGGGGTTCCTCCCTTCTTAACTATATCCCTATGCACTGCACTTTACAGTTTGAAAGGTTCTCCCTTGGGAGCCCTTGGAGGAGTGGAGATCTGTGGGATACTTTGGTTGCAAAGAAGAACTGCCTGCTCCAGGGTATTTGGCTGTCATTGATATGGGTGGGGGCTGTTTGGTCTTTTGCTTCCAAACCAATGTTCTTTGTGCCACCCATCCACCTGCAGGTCAGGTATTGGTGATTGTCTGCCTCTGTGACATCAATGGTGCCAAGCACACCCTACCCCAAGGGGACATCAGGAGAGAAAGCGGATAATAGGCAGGAGCTAAATGTGGGAAAGGCAGCTTGAAGTCCTGGGCAAATGCCAGCGTGGGGGATAGGCATCAGTGTAGGACCAGAGCTGTGGACTCGCCACCTCCAACAGTGATGGGGAAAAAGGAACAGAGCCCAAGGTCATGAGTTGAAGACACTTGGGCTGGTGGGGGCAGAGGTGGGGCTCAGGCCCTATCTGGTGCCCCCACCTGCACAGAGGTGGAATCTGAAGAGTGTCTCAAACTGAGACCCCAGCCCACCCCTCCCTCCTGTCCTCCATCCAGACTCCAAGGTGACCAAGGCATACAGGGTCACAGGAAGTTGGGATTTTTGCCTTCTGTATTATCTTTGCCTCAGAGTCTGGCAGGCATTTGAGGTTGAGAACCACTCTGGACCTAAGCCTGTGCAGGATGTCAGAAGCTACAGGGCCCAAGAGACACAGAAATGTCCACATGGGACACAGGTGCATGGGTCATGAATACACTGTCCACACAATAGTTATGTGTATTACATGGGCAGGGGCTGGCCTGGCTTCTCGTCCTCCCAAGGTGGGGTTTGACTGGGACCTGCCATGACCTGCACATCACTCCGTGTGCCATCCAGCACACCCTGAGTCCTGACCAGAGCAGTGCACGTGGCATCAGGCTGTGAGAGTCACAGCAGTTCAGGGCCCCCCCCTTCTCCATGATCCCAAGACGGCTCATTTATACCATGCTTGGACATGTCCAGCCAGCCACTCTTGTGTGGACAGAGTCCACTCTGGCTCCAACAGCCTGGGAGACTTGGGGAATTGATCTATTTCATGGGTAAAGCAGGGGATGAGGAAGATGTCCTTGTGCCTCCCTTCTGTGTGTGTGTACTAGTGTTTGCATGCACATGTGTGTATGTGTGTGCAGGGGCACATGTGTCATGTGCCTTATGTGTGCACATGTGTGCACAGGTGTGTGTGCACATGCATGCAATACACTTGTTTGTATATTCATGTGCCATGTGTCTACATATATTGTGCACGTGTTCATGTGTCATGCATGTGCATTATATGTACTTGTACAAGCATGCACCTATGTACCTGTATGCATATGTGTGTACATTTGTGCACATGCCTGATTGTGTGTATAGATGTCTGTGCATGCACATGTGTCCATGTACACACGTGTATATGTGTTTGTGTATGTACATATGCATACACATGTGCACACGTATATGTGTCCATGCACCTGCACACAGGTGCATGCATTACACCTGTATGTGTGCGCACATGCGCATGCATACATTATCTGCACGTGCTTGTGTGTATGTATGTAGGCATGCATGCATGTGTGTACTTGTGCATGCATGTGTATGGGGGGGCCCTCAGCCCATTACTCCCTTTCTACTTCCCATCCTTTCTCATCTCCAGAAAATGCAGTCTCTCGGGGGCCCTTCTGGGGCCTGGCCTTTGTACTCAGACACACCCGGGGACAGGCACTGTGACTGTACCTCCGTGAGTGACAGGGAGTTCTGAGATATCCTATTTCTGGACAAGCCTCATGTGAGCTGTCAGGGTAGGCAGCTTGTGCATAGGATGCAGGGGACTCCCCATCACCCTTTGCCTTTGCTCCAGTCCATCTCCAGTGTCCATGTCCTGTTTTAGTCCCCAATTCCAGCAGAAGAACAAACGGAATGCTGCCATACCTCAGCCACATAGCTAATGGCATCCTTCAAGTTCAGCTCGTGGAAAACATTCAAAATCCGATCTCGAGACTTTTGTGCTGACCTTCTCATGAGGACCTTGCTGAGGAACTTCCTATCAAAATTGGACCACCTGGGGGACAAATGCCACAATGTCAGCACTGGGGCCACCTGCCATGCATTGACAGGGACCTGGATACATGTCTCCAGAGCTGAGCCCAATGCTAGACCATCCCCTTTGCGGCTGGGTTTTCTTTACTGTTCCCTGAAGGTAAGTTTTAAGGCCAAAGACCCTCAGTTGTGCTACCTGGCACTGTTTCACCATTTGCCTTTCTGATACTTGACAGTGGTTGTCACTGAAAAGCACGTGTAATGGCAGCTGTTTTCTCATTTGTGACAGACATTACAAGCAGGTTTCCAAGTGAGCCCCTGACCCTCAAGGTGGCTTGGGGCAAGCCTGGGGTCATGATGCCGGTGACCATAGTTCAATTTCCTGGGGCCACACTGCCTAGGGTATTTGGCTTAAGTTAACTCTGCAGCCTTATGTGGAACGTGGATAATTTTTCCATAAAACATGGACCAATGTGTATGAATTTTTAAGTGCCTTAGTTGTTACATTTATAATATGTTTTATTTTAGCAGTGCTGGAATTTGAACTCAGGGCCTCATGTTTTCTAGGCAGGTGTCTAGGCCTTAGCCTCTTTTTACTTTTCCTATTTTTCAGATAGGATCTTGTGTTTTTGCCCTGGGTCAGTTTGGGCCAAGATCCTCCCTATCTCTGCCTCCAAGTAGTTGGGATTCTGTTGGGCTTTTTATAATAGTTTTAAGTGTCAATGTATGTTCTAATAAAATATAGGTGATTTCAGTTTCATGAACAAAATAATTTTAAATATTGACCAACTAACACACTCTTCCTCTGTTTGTAGAATGGAGAAAGTGAATTTTTTTTTCTGATTTTCAAGTCTCACTTAATTTAACAGTTTAAAATGAATTGCCCAGTAAAAGCACATCTCTATAGGTGCCAGAAAGAGCAACAGAAACAAGATTTGGATCCCTGGCTTGTCTACAGTGCCACCTGCTCTACTAGTATTAACTTTCTTTTTCACCCATGAGTCTGGTACATACCTGGGCCCCCAGCTTTGTGGGCACACAGATCCTGACCAGGTGTTTCTATGACACCCCCCAAACTTCAGGACCAGCCTGGAACCCAGACAATTCAGTCAGTGGCCTCTGACTGTTTTGAATGGAGGCTTTATGGTACTTGAATCGTGGGACACAATGGATGGGGCTTCCCAGCGTCTGTTGGTGTCCCTGTCAGCACCTATGTGTCCACAGTCCTATGATCAAGGGGCCACTGGTTGAAGGAGGAATGTATAGGAAGCAACAGCTGAAACAGATGTGCCTCACAAGTTGTACCCATTTTAGCCCAGTCCTGGCGGCTTGGACCACTTACTTATCTCTGAGATAATTGTGTCCAATTTGTCCTGAGATGTCCTCGATGGCCGAGAGGATGTGGTCGAAAGCCTTTCAGAGGAAAGTAACTTGGTTGCTGTCCTTCCTGGCCTCTCCTCAGTCGCCCCTCTACCCTCCCCGATGCCTCTTCCCCTACCCTTCTTCTCCCCCTCCCCCATGCGGTCCCCCTACCCGGCCATGCAGCTTCTCATTGAGCTTTGGCTCGCGATGCTCACTCCTCTTCACCTTCAGCCACTGCACCAGGGGCTTGATGGTCAGGCCCTGGGAAGACATCTCACTGAGCCTGGCACCAGGCAGGACCTCACACCCTCAGAGCCCATATGTGAATCATACAAAAGAGGAGGTCTCTCCTCCCACACAGGGGAGTCCAGGGACCTAGGCATCCATGGGCACTGTCCTGCAGAAAGCACCCATACCTCTGTGCCATATGGACATCCGCACCCCCCCACCAGCCATTACTCCTTTGAGCAACCAAATGCAAGGGAAGAGCAGGTTCCTGCTGGTGCCTGACCAAGAGCAGCAGCCAGGAAGTGCTAAGTGGGGCTTTGCTTGTGGGCCATGGCCTGGAAACAGTGCTGAGGACAAACTGTGCTGCGTCCTCTGGGGGGACCAAGAAAACCTACAAAATGCTCCTGGTTACTAAAATTACAGAATCCAATTAGAGTCTGGAGTCTGGAAATGCTGAGCTGCTGTGCTCATGGTCAAGGGTCAGAGCCTGGAGACCACAGGGGCAGCAGCCTTGACCAAGCCCCACCATACCTGGAATATGACTGTGAAGAAGACCACAATGATGGTGGTGCTGACAAACAGGTTCTTCTCCTTGATCTTGTCCTTATCCAGAAGCACAACCAAGGCATATGCCACGGCTCCACGCAGGCCGCCATAGGACATGACCACCTGGTCGATGGTCTCCAGCTGTACCATGCGATAACGGTTCAGGATCCAGGTCTGCAGGACGACGCCTGCAGTGGGAAGTGCACTCAACTGCGTGGCTTCTTTTCCATGGCTTCCCCCCAGCCAAACCCCATAGCTTTTCTCCTGTAGCCCTTGTCCCTCAGCTGACTGTGGATGGCTGGGCAGTGGGCATGTCTCAGGTGCACCTCCTGATTGTGCTTCCTACAAGATGGGCTGATGGGGCTCTCTATCTCCTGTCCCCCTGACCCTATCCCTGGGGAACACATCTAGAGTAAATCATTGGGAACAACATGGGTTGCTTCTGGGTTCTGGAACCTTTCATCTTCTCTCCAGTCTGCACTTTGAAGAAGTCCTGCCCTTTATGGGGGTTGGACAGGTCTTTGGGGTGCTGCCTTCTGCAGACAATGGGCTGAGGGAGACTGAACATCGGCATAAATGCCCCTGGCCCTCACCTATGGCCCGGTACACAGAAATGAAGACCAGCGTGAGTAGCACAAAGGCTGTGTTCCAGGTCCAGATGAGGGGGTCCACAGCTGAGATGCCCAGGAACATGAAAATGATGGTCTCAGCTCCACTGGCCAGCATCTTCATGGTGTAACGTACAGTGGTGGCTGACTGCTCCGAGATGTTGGCCTTCACGTACTTCTGACAGCAGATGCCACAAAAGGTAATGCTGGGGATTGGGGGGGGAGTGTAAGGCCATAATGCAGCTGCCACTCAGGTGGGCAAGGGCTCAGTGCCAAGCATTTCCGGGGCCTGGCTGCTGCCATGCCCTGGTTCCTCTAATGCCATTTCAAGTCCTCTGCATCCTGGGCAAATGTCATCCCATTGGTCAGCCCTGTTCAGTGGAATTGGTACCCTACCTCCCCAGCTGTCTGTCTCCTCCCACACCCTGAGTCTGGACACACAGAATTGCAAGGATGCATTCATGAGCCTTGAGGGGCAGCCTACACCTCTGTGTGCAGCCCCGTGAGGCCTGTTGGCAGTTGTCACAGCCCAGCTGCCAGCCTTGGAGGAATCTGAGAGCTAGGTTTCACCTGAATGTGGGGCTGTGTGCTGGCAGAGGACCCCAACAAGGGATTCTGGAAAGATCACTCTTGAATCTTCAGGCCATAGCCTCTCCATCCCCCTTACCCAGCAGAGGCTACAGTTAGCTATGGACAATTCTATGACAACACCAACTCCTTATTTTAAAATCAAATAAGTCAGATTCTTCCAACCAGCCAGGTGATGAAACAGCTGGAAAAGGCACTCTGAAAGTTGTGTCCCAAGGAGGGAGTATGGGCCCCACTCTGCTTCCCCCTCACCAGGGCATGGCTGGGCATGAACTTCTCGGTGTTTGTGAGCAGGCCCTTCACCCACACACTTTCTGGAGGACCTGGCCAGCCTGGTCCTGCTTTTCTGGGGCCAAGTGCCGGGTCACTCTGGCCTGTCTCCAGCTCAGTGGCCACCCACCCAGCTCAGCTACATAGGAGTTGTGGCTCCGTGCCCATCCCAAGGGAAGAGGGGACACTTACGCCAGGATAGCCGACAAGGACAGCATCTCAGACGTCAGATAGGACAGGTAGGAGATGACAAAGACGAAGCCCGGCTCAATGATGCGTACATGCTTGGTGAAGCGGGTCACCAGGGACAGCAGGAAGGCAAAGATGATCCCCACCAGAGTGCCCCCAAGGCTCACCACGAAGAAGGACACTGTGGGACAAGGACGCCAGACTGAGGCTGCCTGAATGGTCCTTTGTGGCTGGGTATGTGGGCGAGACTAGCTAGGCCATTCCTGCTGGAGGGCGCCTGGTAACTCTACCCACAGCAGTGTAGAGAGTTTAGGAAACAAGAGCCCAACTCTCTGCTCCTGAGTCTGGCCTCCATGCCAGCAACAGTGCAGAAAGGAAATGGAGGGTGGAGGCATAGCCCATAGGAAGGAGCCTGGCCCCTTTGTGGGGAGTACTGCCCAAGCAGCCCTGTGAGCTAAGTTTGGCAAGCAAGGACCAGGCCCTGTGTCCTCAGACACTATCCATCTGTCCTTCCCCAGGGAGACTCAGGTTGGCTGTCCCTGTCCCTGCCCAGAAAAATACCCAGGATTCCCCAGGACCCTCATCCAACTGTGTTTGTGAGGTGCTGTGGGAAGGAAATGTGTTCAGTGAGTAAACAGAAACATCTTTTCCTACATGGGCTGCAGGCCCCATAGCAGCAGAGTCCCCAAGGAGTCTGAGTTGGGGAGGAGCTATGGGACTCCCTGACTGCAGACGGAGAGTGGGTTCCGTAAGACCTGCCTGGTACCTACCTATGCCTTTCAGGCAATCCACGCCAGTCACATTGTCAGCACCCAGTGTCACAAAAGATTCAAACACATTGTATAGGACCTGAGGGGACAGAGATAAACAACACACCCAGTCAGCCCTTGCTCAAAACTGATCCTTCCCTGTCTTAGTGCCTCTGCCTCCATTTACTTGGGCCCCAGTGTGAAGCCCTCAGTGGCTGGTGACCTTCTTCAGGACAGGTTAACTATGGTCACCAGGAAGAGGCTGAAAAGGAGCCAATAGGTGGGAAGTGTGGCCGAGGGAACGCTCAGTGGCAAAGCAACTGCCAAGCTAATCCTCTGCATATTAATTCTCAATTTCATTTGCCAAGACAAGCGCAGAGGTCTTTCTTTTTCTCCAATGGTGTGTGATGCATGACTCAGCCGTGGGGTTACACCCAGTGGTCCATATGTCAGTGTCTAACCAGATCCCTCGTGACAATGTTGGCAGTGAGCTAATACTGAGGGGTGCAGGCTGTCTCTGTGCTGTACTCTGTGCTCTGTGGGTGTGCTCAGGAGACCCATGGGCAGGTGTGCCGACTGTGAGACATGGCCACAGCAGGCATGGAGTTCCCACAGGGCCTCAGTAAGACTTGCACTCTGCAGGGTCAGGGAAGCCACTTGGCTGGGAGCTACTTGCTGTTTTTCTGACTAGTTCTCAAACTGGCTCTCAGATTCCCCTGAGAACCGCCTCTGCTGCAGAACACACTCAGGGCTTTCTCTCTCCTCAGCTTAAGGGAGCCACGAGCCCCCTGAGGGCACAGGAAGACCATCACACTTCCTTGAGCATCTGTATTCGGCTGTCTGCAAAGCCCTTGGGGCTGGTTCTTAACAGGCAGTGATTCTGCCCACACCCTCCCCTTCCACAGAGCAGCAGCCCATCTGGGGATGGGGTTTGAAACTTCTCCAGGGCTGTGATGAAGTAGCAGTCGTGCTCTGCACATCCATGAGCCTGTTGCTCACTGCCAGTATGGTGTGGTCTCAGCTTCTGTGGAGGCCTCACCCACCCTGCCCACCCTCGGGCCTGGGGAGCTCCAGGTGCCATCAAAGGACTGAGTTGTACCCTCAACTCCCATGTTGAGTGAGTGCTAACCCCAGGACCTCAGGACATGACTGCGTTTGGAGAGGTGATTAAGGTAAAATGAGGTCCCTAAGGTAGCCCTAATTCAATTTGACTGTGGCCCTTATAAGAAGAGACAATCAGGACAGACACACAGAACAGGTCCCTGAGAGGACACAGGGAGACACCACATGCATCTACAAGCCAAGGAGAGAGGTCACACCTGGATCTCAGACTTCAGACTCCAGACTCCAAGGCACAAATTCCTGCTAAGTGTCCACTGTGCTGCTGTGTTATGGCAGCCACAGCCCGAGATTAAGCAACCCCTATGAGATTTTGTTATTTGTTTATTCATCTGTTTTTTAGGAAAGCAGGAAGGGTGGCACCAAGTGTAGTCCAAAGCTAAAGACCCCTGCTCTGGGGCATGTGGCTTTGGGATTTTAACACTAGCAGCATTAACCCCAAAGGCATGAAGAAGAGAGAGGGAAAGAGAAACAGAAACAGGCAGGAAGGGGGAGAGGCTGGAGGACTCCACCTGAACTGAGTTAGGAGGGAGCAGGACCAGAAGAGGAGCAGGTAAGAAGAGTGGGTGGGGCCTGTCTTTCACGCAGGAAGGGACATCATCCTCACAGGGAGGACATCACACACTGTGCAGGCTCCAGGCTTTCAAGCAAGGCTGTGAAGGAAAGCCATTTCCAGATAGCAGACCCCCCTTTGAGTTTCTCATCCCAGGGACACTGGTGATGCCCACTGGGTGAGATGTCCCTGCCTCTCACAGTAACAAACACTGCAGCCCTGTAGCCAGCTTCAGGGACCCTGTCACCACTCACCACAGTCACAGCATCGTTCAGTAACGACTCCCCAAAAACAATGATGAACAGAACCTCATTGACATGGACTTCCTCAAACACAGCCAGCACGGCCACCGGGTCCACAGCAGCAATCAGGCTGCCGAACAGCAAGAAGTCCAAGAGCCCGATTTGCAAGTCACCTGCAAGACACAGCCCAGGTGAGCGCCCAGGCCAGGTGGTGCAGGCTCCCCTGCAGCCTCCCTGCAACCAGTCCCAGTGGCAACTGGAATAGGTGCCAAGCAAACCTTGCTCAGGGCTACCCAAGGCTGTGGCCTGGTGACAGGGGCTGGAGGCTCCAGGGAGGAGCCCAAAGAGCAAGCTAATGGTAGGACACCCTCAGGATGCACAAGGCCACTGAGTTTCCTACGGAGGGGCTTCACTCTCCCACTTGAACTGGGACAGAACCCACACTGCCTTCAGGGCCAGGGCTTGGGGCTCTGGGAGGTTAATACTCTAAGCAGATAGTGGATCCCCAGGAAGAAGCAGAGAGCAGGGGACCCTGAGGTTCCTGGGAACTCTAAACTCTGCAGCCTCCAGCCAGTGTCACAATAGCCAGAATTGTTTCTTCTTCTTCTTCTTCTTCTTCTTCTTCTTCTTCTTCTTCTTCTTCTTCTACTTCTTTTTTCAGTATTGGAGATCAAACCAGAGCCTTGCACATGCTAGGCAAGTGCTCTAAGCCAAATCCTCAGCTAGAATTTCCATTTGGAAAGAAAATCACACCCTTTGCTTCTTCACAGGGCCCAACCTGGCCTTGCAGACACAAACTACTTTCAAGGCCAATCTTGAAACACCTCTAGCACAGCTAGCTTCTTGCTCCAGAACCTTGACAGACCAAGGCACATTCCAGAAATCATTCCAGAATTGGGACTGCCCTTCCAGCCTGACAGTCTACCTACACTAACCTTTCAGGGGTGTCTGGGATGGACAGGCTCACCAGAGTCTCTCTCCACCTCTAGCAAGAAGACCTGCAGGGGCCTTGACAGCCATCCTAGGCTGACCCTTCCGTGGTAGGTGAGCTGTTGGCCTTGAGCCGCTGGACTGCAGAGACCAGTCACTGCCTATGCAGCTCAGTGGGCCTTGGAGCAGGGCTGAATCGGCCCGTAGGCAGTCCCAAGGGCTGAGCACAGGCTGCTCTCCTCTGTGTCCACTATGGAAGAGTGACCCTGCCTGTCATGTGTGACACAGTGATGCATGGTGACACTTGTTCCCAAGGGACATTGTGGCAGGATAATCCTGCACAGCCACAGCAGGAAGATGGGCCTAGATGTTCCTGCTGATGGGAATGTAGCTTACAGGTGTGGTAAGTACATTTGCCAAATCTCTGCCAATTGCACCTGAAGACTGGTGCTTTGTATCATGAGCTGGGTCTGTTAGAGAGTTCTCCATGTGCCCTCAGAACAGCCCTGGGGACATGCCATGGTGGGACCTGTGGGTGACACGGTTATCAAATGAAGACAAGTATGCCCTTGGGAGGCTGTGGACTCCAAGTCCAGGAGTTCCTGATCCAAACCCCAGATGTCTCCTTGGATCCAGTGGCCAAAGGCTACTTAGGTATGTCCCCACCCCTTCTGGTATCACTGAAGTGGCAACCATCACAGAGCAGGTGCCTATATATCTCAGAGGCTGACCAGGTGCTCACCCTTCGGGGCTCAAGGACAAGGTCCCCAGGGGACCGATGTGCCCAAGAAGGCTACTCCCTTCCTTCTCAGCACATCTCCTTGGTCTCTAGGATTTCCAGGTCTTGATTCACAAAGTGAGTGTCACCCATGTTCTCCCTTGAGCCAGTGAGAAGTCCCCAATAATTCTGGGTCTGTTCCTGTGAATGTCTGCTCATATCTGCCAGGACCACACATGCTCAGTCTCCCATCTAGACAGAGAGAGTGGGAGTGTGCCCAGAGGGTGACCAGGGCTGATAGCCACCACCATGTAGGAGCCATGCTTGGGGATTCTGGCATCACAGGTATGAGTAGAAACAGCACCAAAACACCCAAGACTTTGGGGTGCATGTTTAACTCAGCCTTGGGACCAGCTCCTCAAGCTCAGGACCTGGTCACGGCCATTTCCTCCTTTTTCCCTGGATGTTCAGTGGCCCCCACTTCCCTACTGAGTGTTCTCTGAGGAGAACAGTCATCCATGCCCACCTGCCCCACCCATCTGCCAACCTGGTTGGATGGAAATCTGTTGTAAACAGGGCAGGGATACCACAGACACACTTCTCCTTACACATGTGGAGTGGTATTGGAGCCCACCAGCGATATTCCTCACCCCTCTAGGTCTGTGATATGCACCTTGACCTCTGCTAAATAGAGTGACAGGAGCCCCCCTACACACACAGTGGGCAGCGCATTGACTCACCCATTAGGCCACTGAGGAAGACACCATAGAGTGACAGGCCGGTGGTGGCTGCATTCCACACGGTGCCGATGACAGCATACAGCAGAATGGTGCCCAAGTTGCCAAAGAAGAGCCGGTTGGGCATGAAGTAGCCAGCATCCAGTACGATGGGGGGCAGCAGGTAGAAGAAGAAGACCGTGGGCGTGAGCGTGAACGAAGCGATGTGGTCAGCAGCCCAGACGATGCCACCCAGCACCAGGCCCAGGACAATGAGCAGAGCACTCTCAGGGACAATGCTGGTGACCTTGTGGGACAGGTGGAACACTGCAGGGAGGAGAGAGGGTCAGGGGTCCATGGGAGAGAGGAGAGGGTCAGGGTCCCACAGGGATGAGGAAGGGTCAGAGGAGCCAGGATCCTCTCTAGCAAGGCACCATGGGAGAAGGACCAGGTCCTCATTCCAGGACCTCAGGGGTTTTGGCAAAGGCCCTCCATTCCCGTAAAAGTTACCCACAGTTGATGGTAGGTGACAGCCATGTTGATGTAGGCAAGAGCCACTGGGGGATGGAGACTAAATTACCCCCAAAAGCTGACACAGACAGATGGAGCCAAGACCAAGAGCTGGGTGGGGCTGTCTACACCAGTCAGTGTCCTCACCTCCTAGGGTCTCTATGTTCACACAGGCGGCAAGGCCTGCATCTCCGGGAGCAGAGCCCCCCGTGTCAGATCTGGGCAAAAGGAAACTGTACTGTGGTTGAAGGAGGGAGGGCTGGACTGGGTAGATGGCCCATCCCATGCCCCCAGGTGGGAGACCCCCAAGCTTGGCCCCGCAAGGGGCAGATTCCGGTCCTCAGGGCAGCCAAATACACTCAGCACTCAAGACCTGACCTGACCCCGCTGTTGTTCAGGTCCAGTGCCTGCTCTGTTGTAGTCATCTTCGGGGGACCTATCCTGTCCTCCTCCCAGGCTCTGTCAGCCTGAGAGGTCACAGATCTTCAGAAATAGCAAGTCCTAAGGTGGGAATCTCCAGGTCTCCTGATGGGAGCCAACTGAATTCCCCACATTGGAATCCCCACATTGGCTCTAAGGAGCCAATGGCCATCCACCTTTGGGTCCCTTGGCCCCGTGGGCCCTGTTAGGTTCTTGGAGGTGCTCAGCTCTGCCTGCAGGGGGCACAGCCTTGTCTCCTCTGTTCATCAAAAAAATGCGATCTGGATTCCTTTGGTAGGCATGATTTCAGAACAGTTGCAATGCTGATGGATGACATTGCTTTCTTTGGCTGAAGCAAGATTTGTTACTATCACCTTCACTCACTGCACTTGTATCTATTGAAATTTCTGACTTCTCTGAAAGTCAAAGGAAGGTTGCATCCCAAGACATCCAGGCTCCAATTCAGCCCGGAGTGGTGTGGGGACAGGAAGGACCCTTGTACTAGGGTCTCAGCACAGGAGAAGCATTTACCAGGCAGGCTGTAGGGAGTGGTGGGGCCTGAAGGCTGTATCTGGACTCACCCTTCCTAACCGGGTGGCCCTGATGGTGCTCCCTGGCCTGTTTCTCCACGTTTAATTACAGGTATTGCAGGGATTAGGTGCAAGCTCCCACAAAGGACTCCTGCACCCAGGGGGTGGAGGCCGCTGGTTTCTTGCAACATGGTGCTCTGCACCACACACCAAGGACATGTTTCCCTGTCCAAGCCTGGTGAGATACAAGTGACAGGTATGCTCGGAACCTTGCAATGTCAGCCTTCTACCCTGTCACCAGGACGGGGTCTCTGCTTGCCAATCCCTTAGTCACCAGGCTGTGGTCCCTGTCTAGATCACAGATACCAGTTCCAGGGCAAGTCAGGTTTCAGCCATCAGAGGCAGGATAGGCCATGTCTTTGGGATTGGAGGAGCCTGCCTGCACGTGCCCCATAGCTGCTTCCCTTCTGGTTGTACATCTTACATCCAATCAAGGTTCCATTTCCCCTCTGTAAGTTTTCACACATGTCAGGCAGGATCAGTGTGAGGGCCCACCCTCCTGAAACCCAGTGACACTTGAGACCAGGAAAGCTGGTGCCACGTGACTGACGATTGCCAAATACACGTGAGGCATGCCAGGCACACATGAAAAATGTGTCACAGAAGGTGAATGCCCAGAATAAGGGAGGCTGCTGCAGAACATGGAGGTGTGGCTGGGAATTCTAGGGCCTGGCCTTATGCTGGCTGGTTCTTAGAGGTGCTAGGAACACCAGTAGGAAAACATCTGGAGGGCTTAGCGTGCCTGGGGTTTATAGGCTCGTACTCCTCTATAGGGCACTTTCCCCATGCTGGGAAGAGGCTATGATGTTGGTGGGAAAATTTTGTGTTTTGTTCACACATGACGGGTCCCAAGAGCCCCAGCCCTCTGTAGTGCCCTGGCCTCTGATCTAGGCACCCCTCTACCTGTGAGCTGCCCTGTGGCAGTTGGAAGGCATCATCCAGCCCCACATAGGAGGCCAGGTCTTGCCCTGGACCCTGTGGTCACAGGCACAGGCAGCCTGAGAGCCCCAGCAGGTCCTGGAGTCCCACTCTAGACCCCAGCCTCAGCAGGCCTGGGGCAGGCCTAGAACTCTGCATTCTGAGGGTTCTAAGGCCCCAAGAATCGTCCTGACAAGTCCTCTCTGGTGGCCCCTGGACCAAGGCTGCACTGCAGGAGGGAGGCTGGCAGCTCACACCCGCTGCGTTGCCCTCCTTACTCCTTGCTCATCTCCTGAGACAAACTGAGGGGTCAGTGTCCAGGACTGTGTTCAGAAAGGCCCAAGGTCCCTGCCCAGAGCTGACACCCTCCTGCCGGCTGACAGTCGTGGTTCCTGCATATTCCGTTTGTGATGTGTTACCTCAGCTCTGTCCTCACATGCCCTTGAGCTCTGCAGACAGAACCTGCTAGAGGATGTGTAATGCCAATGTCATCCACTCAAGCAGTGTGAACGTAGTGCAAAGGCACTTCACATCCTGGGCTGACTTCAGTCATCGTCATGTTTGTGATGGCTGCACCCACCTTCCCCGCTGCTCAGAGTCTCTGGGCCTGGGAAACTCTGAGCCCGTGCCCATGATACTCCAGAAATGGGGGTATAGGCCTTTTTGATCATGGATTAGACTGCAGAAGGACCAGGAGACCTCTGAGTTCAGACCACACCAAGGTTCAAGGTAATCTTCTGCTCAGGACTTTCGGTCTTTTCCTGAAATCTCTTTCCATGGTGGAGATCCCCAGAAATGAAACCTGCATGGAGCCCCTTCCACACCAGCGGTCTGGGAGCCATGCTTATCTCTTGAACAACAATGGCAAAAGCCAGGGCGGATAGGAGTTTGGAATGCTTCCAATGTTGCCATCTTGGTGTAGCAGCGTCCCTGTTGGAAGCACATGCCCTGCAGGTGTGTGGAGTGTACACAGGGGTCCATCAGTGTCCCCTGCAGGGTCTGTTGCCCTGCCCACCTCACTGTCTAGCATCTCCTGGTGGACCTCCTATGCCTGAGGTCTAATTTCCGTATTTGACGTATTTCTGTGCTTTTCTCACAGGGGTCGCTGGCTCCTTTACTGGGGGTGCTAACCCTCTTTTTATGAACGTGTGGCTCTTCATAGGCCAAAACAACCTACCCTGCCCAACCCAAGCAACATCTGTTCCCACCACCCTGAACCTGAGAGTGGATCTGGGGTGGCCCCTAGATCTAGGCCTGCCTCTGCCTGTGTGCAGCCATCATCCCTCTGCCTTGAACATGAGTCAGGTAGCTAAACCTGTGAATGGATATTTCTCTGGGGCTACCTACCAAGCCTTGGCAGCTTTTGTACAGGTTGTTCTCTGCCATGAGCAGCAGGGTCCCATGGGGAGAGGTCTTCAGAGACAACAGACCCTGGGCCTCAGTAACCTTGGGCTGGCAGTTGGGAATATGAATCTGGCACTGGGGTCAGCTCATCCTTACCCAAAGGCCAGGTGTCTGGTGGACAGGGGCCCACAAGGCATGCTGGCCAGCCTGGGGCAGTCCAGTCCATACCAGCTCCCCCATGTACCCATGACCATCTGCATGGGCAATCTGCATTGTAATTGCTACTTAAACTGGAGACTCAATTAACTTTAAGTGGCAATTTGCTAATGCCTCAGCAATAACACCATAATGGGCATTTTAGAAGCTGGTGAACCAGCTGCCACTGCAAGCCTATGGCGCCTGACTCCTGAGGCTGGGCAGTTAGAGCCCTGCACTGGCCACATAAGCCTGATGTGGGCAGGGGATGTCCATATGCACATTCTCAGTTATGCTGTCTTCCAAAGGACAGGCAGGATGGAAGGACATCCATCTCACTGCCATAGGTCAGGAACCATCCCTCCCAAGAGGCTGAGTCTTACAACTGCCATACACAGTCTGATGTTTCAGGGATGGAGATACAGGTCCCAGGTCATTGTATGTAAAACACACCCCGTACCCCATGCCTTTCTCTAGGTCAACATCACAGGTGCCATGTGACCATCCAGCATCTACTGCAGCCCCCTCTGTTCTGAGGCCAGTCACTGCTGCTCTTATAGTTTAGTTTTCAGGGAAGGAGGACAGGAGGGAGCCATATAGCCTGAGGGGATGTCATTGTGACTCCTCAAGACCGTCCCCACTTGCACATGGATGTCTCCTAAAGAAGCCCATCCTCAGAGCCACTGATCTGCCAGTGCAGCATGGAAGGAGGGCATCTATCCACGGGGAGAGTGGCCTGCCTCCATCCACATGCCATTAGAAGCCACACTCCAGGTGGCAAAGACACAGAGAGCAGGCCTGTGGTGCCACTCTCCCCATTAAAATTCTCAAGTCTGAGATAGGCTGAGAGGGCATGCTATAGCTTGTATCCTCAACGCCCCTCCCCCCAACAGCCATGTGGTGAAGGCTTGCTCCCAGGAGGGTGATGTTGGGAGGTGGTGGGACCTTTACCAGGTAGAGCCTGAGGGGAGCATGTCCTCCAAAGGGATTGTGGTATCCCGGTCTCTTTTCTTTTTCTTTTTGTTCTGGGCTAAAAGGTGAGCAGATTTGCTCTACCACCGTGTGCTGCCACAGGCCCAGAACTCAGCATGGACAACCACGCACGGATTGGAACCTCCAAAACTGTGAGCTAAAACACAAGATGACTTTCCGAGTGGTTTGCATAGTGACCAAAAGCTGACTGGCAAACAGAGGGTGTCTGACGCCTCACCCAGAGCAAGCACCGCTAACAGCCACTGTACTTCTTGTCAGAATGGTCCAGAATTTGTCAGAACATGCTGTTCTGGGGTTGGGCTTAGTCGTGCAATCACCAAAGCCAAAACTAGGGTGAGCTTTGTGTAAATGAGAGCC